GGGGGGGGGGGGGGGGGGGGGGGGGGGGGTAAAAAAAAAAAAAAAAAAAAAAAAAAAAAAATAAAAAAAAAAAAAGGGGGGGGGGGGGGCCCGGGGGGGGGGGGGGGGGGGGCCTCTGCGGCCCTCGGCCCGGCCCGCCGCCCCTCTTACCCCTAAATTTAAACCCCCCCCCCGAGGGAAAGCCCCCCTTGGGCATGTTTTTCGTGCGTGCAGCCGGCTCCATCGAATTATAAGACTTTGACCTCAAAAGTAGGCGTGTGTCAGGCACAGGAGGCTGATCAGCTACTTGCTTATTAGATTGACAAATGATTATGAGTACAGGTAATCTGAGGCCCAGACTTAAAAAGGTTGTAACGCCACTTATCTTAATATATATAAATTACGTGTCACGTTGTTTGTCCGCTATGGACTACTAAACTACCGAACCGATTTCAATCAAATTTGCACACCGTGTGTAGTTTGATACAACTTAAAAGATAGGATAGCTTACATCGCAATTTATACCCGTAATATTATTTTATTGCAAAATATTTGTTTATTATTTGATAGTCACAATTCTAACAGATGGAGCTGTGTTGAAAGTACCAACGTTTCACATAACCTACAATTTAATGGCATAACCATCAAAAAACCATGGTGGTCCCCATGACTGGTGTTCTCCTACCGTTCCCCTTGAGTAGCTTACTACTATGTAATATAACAAAAATCTTAGCCACAGCAACGCTTGGCCGAGTCTGCTAGTATATATATCTTTTAAGGTACTGTTTTATTTATTGTAAAATCAAAACCATCTTTATATTCTCGTTTCCTTTAAAAAAAACATACGTTTCCCATTCTCTGTACCTACTTCTGCCTATATTAATAAAGAACCGTTCATAAATACTAGATTTGGAACTGTGGAGACAAATCTGTAAGTTCCAACAGCGACAACAAAGTTTAGACCGTCGGAACTTAGTCAACGCAGTCAGAGAGTTCTTTATACAGTATTATCGGGTTAAAAAATCGACTGATGAAATTGAGACTGTTAATTTTTAATTACGTGTCTGGTACTGATCTCAAACATTGCTCTTTGCTCATTGATTCCTTTGTGAAAGTGAACCCAAATTGAACTAAATGTTTTATAAACTTGTGTTATATCTTAAAGCTAATTTTCTTGTTTGGTTAACTTTTTTATTGTTTAATTGAAGGGAATGTTTAATGCTTTTGAATTTATGCCGGGATTTTTGTTGTCATGAGATTAAAGTGTAAATATTTCGTTTTTTGACCTTATTTATGTTTATACAAGGTCAAGATCTTGACAAATTCTTCACAAGAGTTCAGATTTTAATTTAGTTGAGACTATACGACAGTCCTGACCCGCTGTCGTATTAATTAGCTCACATTAACGTGAGTTATATTAATTGTGTAAACAGATTCGATAGTCGGTCTCGCCTATCGAATAGTACGTTACACTAAGGTTCCTAGTTTTAAAGGCGTTGTAAATATCTTGTTTAATGTTTGACTGTTGTTTGTATCAACAAATTATCTGTGATAATACATTATTATGAAATATATTTGTTTTATTTGTGACTTTTATAAAAGCAAAAACTTGCATGGTATAGGTAGACCGAGGCGAATCGGATCACAGGGCGAATCGGTTGATAATTTAAATATCACATTCACATAGAACGCACTCAACCGGCGTTTTGTGTATCTCCATTTACTGAGCACCTCCCGACATAAGCAGTATTTCAATCGTGCTTGTGGATCAGTGGCAATGCCGCTCGTTAGCCACTCGTTTTTTTGTGTGTGTCGCAATTTGGCGCTCATCTAAGGTACGTACTTACGATTTCTTTGAGTCATATGACGGATTTGTCTTAAAATTCAACTACATTGGTTTATATTATTAAACAAGGTGTTTATATTAAAGAACCAATTCGCTTTTAAGTATAATCTTAGAGGTTAACGTCTAAAATATTTATTTCAAAAGTCTTAATTATGGGGCTAATCGGATCATATCCTCAGGGGCGAATTGGATCATACTTTTAAACTGATTTATTACATGTTTGAGGTTATTGATTCATATTTATTTCATTGTAGATGGTTCGCACGTACAAGAGAAAGACTGATGCCGGAGAATGGTCTCAAAAAAAATGAAAGAGGCTGTAAATAAAGTCCAGAACAAAGAGTTGACCTTACGTAAAGCTGCTAAGATTTTTTCAGTACCGTTCACGAGCTTACAGAAAAAAAGGACCATATATATGTGAAAATTGATCTCATTATTAACTTTTTACTGATTCCAAAGTTATTTAACACTATACCTCAAAATTTTGTTATATGTAGTATACGATCCGATTCACCCCGAAAGTTGGGGCGATTCGGATATTTTCCATTTTTTAGTTTTTAATAGGTAATTAAGAGAATATAGGTATGATTTAAGTTTTTAAATGTTTATTGCATAGCTCATTGTTACTTCTTACGATTTTATCAATAAAAATAACATTATATAACACTTTAGTATGATTTGCTCAACCTCAAAGAAAAAGTGATCCGATTCGCCTCTACTATACGACAATTTAAATACCCATTTTTTCTCGTCATTGTAGCGTTGAATGGAATTAAGTGGAAAGGAATTTTTTGTACAAATAAAAAAAATATAACGAGCAAAATTTAATGAATGTCTTGACTAAACTTTGTATTCATTAATAATAATAGGTCTATATAATTGAGCATTCCATACAAGCATTTACAGATTTAATTATCTATGGATTTGCAGGCCATTCGATATTCAAATAAATTTTATTCAAAAGCCACGTTAATTTAATTTCATTCATTTGTAGTCCAGTTCAGTTCAGATAGTTGTTGTTTTTTGTGAAACTGTGGTAATTTTTGGGACCATGAATAAACTAAAAAATTGTACATGAGTTGACACTATTTTATATAATTTAAGAACACCACAAAAATCTTTAGCCAAGGCAGAACGAATGGAGTATGTATTTATTCATTAATATATACTTCTCCTTCAGTATATGTGGCTATTTCCACACATACGCACAAACACGCCAATATAAGTATTATATTTTACTTGGTTAGGCCGTTCAAGGCCATTGTTTTTTAATTATAATACATTTGGTTTTATAATTTTAAAAAAGTCTTGGCTACCGAAATAAAATCAAAATATTATAGGGTTCAAAATGAAACAAAATTACTTTTTATATTATCTATTATCAGGACAATGCTTTATAATTCGTATGTCAAGTGGTAATTAGGTCTACAATCTATTAACATCAGCGAAAACAGCAATCACAAATTCTCAATTATTAAAATACTATATTTTGAAATCTATTATAATTTTCTATGAAAATATTGTATTTGTATATTTAGAATGATGGCAAATAAAGGGGTGATGAGCGTGTGAATAGGAACTACATATTGCTCGATACTTTTATTTTTATATATTTATGGTCGATACTTTGATTCAAGATATTAAGCCCGTATTCGGTAAGGAATCTTTTCGGTAATATATATTTTCGGTAAGGTATCTTTTCGGCAAGGTATCTCTTCCGTAAGGTAACTTTTCGGTAAGGTATATTAACTATTCGGTAAGGTAAGACACACTTCAAGAGCGTTGCCATGGCACAGACATTATACACGTATCGCGTAAGCACGGCTTGATATCAGAATACATTTAACTTTGTGATCAAGTTTTTTTCTTCCAGCACCTTCTTGGCGATGCTCTTACCTCTTGTGAGTCATTAATTCCTTACGGTACTGCTTTTGTAGCCAGTTTGAGGTACAGCACAAGTGACCCAAAGAAGTCGTGATCACTTTACAGAATAGCGGTCCTGTTTGTAATATATTGTAGGTGATTTTATACCAGTATAAAAATTTCATCCTATATGGGCAACCGGCGCCCAAGTTTTAATTTTTGTGCATTGTCAAACTGACAAATTGTAAAAGAGCATGCCATAAAGAGATTACATTTAAGTTTGATTCAGGAATACGGGCCCAGTTTTTGAATCGTAGGTCTAGACAAGAACGTTACTAGAGTCTGGCTAATGAAAGAAGATAATGGAATTATTTGAAAACTTTCGGATGGCAACACAGAATGTCATTGAATTGCTTAGGTTAGTATGATTTATTGTCTTGATACTTCATGCAATTACTCATTTTTATTTCTATTATTGAGATTTTGGATTCTGATTTTGATTTTTCCGAATAATTGTGTTTTATAATAAATATAGTTTTAGTTTTCCATGCAATGCTAGTCATTTTAAGTTTCAATAGTAAAAGACTAAATACGTTTCTATCAATGTAAAAAATAATAAAATAAACTATAGTAACAAGTATGTTTAATCCACAAAATATATCAAACTTTTAGGGATACTAATTTTTTTTGAAATTGCCGCGCTTTTTATTAGCCAGACTCTATATAATTTTTATAGCAACTCACGCTTCTGTCTCAATTCGACTCTAAAACAGAACAGGGCATATATGACAGGACTGATTGATACCCTTAAGTTGACTTTATTGCTGAGTATTAAAGTGCATATTACAATGCACCACAATCAGTCCTGCTTTGAAGCTATAAGCTTTATGAATGGTCAGTCTCATACGACAAAGGATGTTCAAGTCAAATATAATAATAATATTGTCTATAATTAGTAAATAGACCGATTCCGATTATTCATCGTTTAAAATATATACAAATAAAATATAACTGGAGTGTAATATATTTCCAACTTTGTTTGCCGCTTCCCCTAATACGTTGCTAGGCAACGATCGTCTTTTATTTATTCTGAAATTTTTTAAGCACGGGTACGCAAATTCGCAGTCGAATAAATTCATCATAAAATGTTATTACATGATTTTCAAGTTTAAACATCTTTATTAAGACTTTACGCTGCAAATTATAATGATTATATGTATTGTATTTAAATAATATTCTGTTATCGGAAGGGGTCTATTTGCCATGGAGTCACGCGTACGTACAAGAACAGATACTTATTTATAATTATGTCCTAAGTGCGGTCTGTGGAGGGGCGACGAGTGGGGCGAGGGGGAATGACGAACTCGTGGTGGGGGGGAGCTGCGAAGGGGTTGCTCTGAGCGAAGCCTGACGTTGACGCTTGACGCTGGGGGGCAGGTGCCCGGCGCTGTGGTGACGATCTGGAAATACTACAGATGCTGAGAACCGTATATATATTTGACATACTCTTACCATACTCAGAGCCGAAATTAAGTATTGAAAAAAAGAAAATATATGATACACGGCTGAGTGCGATTTAATAAATAATTTTATACCAAACATTCATTTATATACAATCATACATATTCTTTAAGTGCACCGTATTAACTAAAGTACTCATATATATTATATTAATGCTTTAGATAGAAACAGAACATTCACACAAATATGTAGCGTAATGGGTTAACATTCAATAACTATTTCAAAGGCGTTTAGTCTTTTATAAGACACTGAGATAAAAACAAGGAATTTAGGAAACATGTCTGCCGCAGTAAATTTTCGCTCTAATAAAAAATAATTTGCTATAACAGACAAAAAGCTTGTTCTAGAAACAATGCAAACAAAAGCGGATAGCAACATAACATTGGACCCTAAATACACCATCTAATGTACAAATACTCATAGCCGACTCAATAAAGCATGTATATAAGTGGCGTGAGTATTCGGTCATACTTGGGTGAGGTGTTGAATTCGACGGCGGACATTTGCCTGGGCGGTAACGCCGGCGGCACACCGCGGCCCGCACTCGGTACCACACTGGCCCCAACACGTGGTGGTATCTGCGTATATACGCAATATTCACAAGAGATCGACTGCATTCTAAATTGTACTATAAGTTCAAAATTAGCTTTTTTCTGTACATTTTGGTTGACGCGCAATGTATTCTAAAATCTTCTAACTTCTATTGATTCTCAATATCCTATAAAAATGTTTTGTTGGCAAATAGGCTAGTTGACAGTATGAAAAAAGCAGTGGCGGATTTACCAGCAGGCTAAGTAGGCGGAAGGCTAAGTAGGAGACTAGGGCGGCCAATTTGGAAACCTATTTCTTTTTCTACATAGATATCAAAAAGATTTCTACATGACGACTTTTCCGGACAATTTTGCTCAACCCCCTAACCAGTAAACGACCTCTACGCCCTCAGATCAGAGTGAAAATAGCGAAATTGCAGAAAGTGTATTTCCTTCTTCCCCTATCAACCTATCAGTCAGTCCTACTACTGGTGGGAGGCTGTGAACTGGATGGTTTGTATAGTTCTGTGCTCAAAAATCAAACCCAAAAATTATTTGACGTGAAACGTAATTGTTGGATTCTAAAAATAATCTAAGGGTGCGTACAGACTATGTAACATATTATATAACTTGTGTTTTATAACACGTCCACATTATGTAACCTTGTTATTCAACATTATAACATAAAACAATACTGTACACATTAGAATAACAATGCATTATAACAATGTTATATAACCATTTTAAATAACAAAAGAAAAACAAAAAAACGTAGACCATTGCCAAAAGATTTGGAGGAGACCATTGCCAAAAAGGGGCAAACAGATATTTGAAAAGAATGAGATGATAAATGTGTTTAAGTGTAAAAGTATCTAAAATAAAATATTATTATTAGAAGTAAAATAACTAGTAAAAAATATCCAAAAATTTAAAAGAAAACATTTGTTTTATATCACGTGACACTGTCAGGATTAGTGGAAAAGACGTTGGCCTACAATGCTTGTAAATGTCTTATCCTAATTCTCTTGTGAAGGTGGGGTTTCATACAATATACTGTATTTTGTCTAAAATTGGCGTATTAATTGTCAGGAGCCTCTTAATATGAAGAGGCTAAGAACGGCTTTAATTTACGCAAAGGTCATATTTTAATATATATAAATTACGTGTCACGTTGTTTGTCCGCTATGGACTCCTAAACTACTTAACCGAGTTCAATCAAATTTGCACACCGTGTGTAGTTTATCAACTTAAAAGATAGGATAGCTTAATCTCAATTTATACCCGCAATATTATTTTATTGCAAATTATTTGATAGTCACAATTCTAAAGATGGTGTGTTGAAAGTATAAGTTTCACATAAGCTACAATTTAATGGCATTACACCAAAAAAGGCATAGTGTCCCATGATGGTGTTTATTTTAAAGTTTGTACTATGTAATAAAAATTAGCCAAGAAGTTGGGGTTGTAGTATTATATAAGTAGTAGTTTCTCATTAAGTACCAATTAACCTAACATGATGATGTTTAATGTTGACCAAATGTGGTGTTAATAATAATTGGTTTCTCTTCGTTAGCCAGCAAGAGAATCATACACATAGGGTCTTTGTATATTGTTAGATTTGTAGTGAGCAAAAGTTGCTACCGTCGAAGAATTTTGATATCCTTTGGAATACATATCAATAGCTTTTTCGGGGCTTTTAACAGATGAATTTTAAAATTTACTACCACAGAAATCAAGAATTACGGCAAGAGTATGCTGATTCTGACGTTTAAAGGGAGCGCAATTATTTAATTGTTATAGATTTGTGTGTTATTTGTTACTTATTTTTATGATTCATTGTTGTTGGTTCTTTGTATTCTTTTATCACGTTTTCTTTTTTTGTGTTTTATAACTGTTATTCGATGCAAACAAATAATTATAAATAAACGTTTCTGTGTTAAAATTTCTAAAGTTGTAGTAGAAGTTAACACAATTCTCAAACAACTTGACGTTTGTGTGTTTACAAGTATGTTACGTCATAGGAACTGGTGCGACGCCATCTTGGATAGAGGAAGGTATAAGCGGGTTCTTCAAATTTAAAGCCAATACTTAACCGAATAGAAATTAACTGAAATGGTTTTTAAAACTTGTCAAATAGCCTATTAAGAAGTTATTGACCAAATGTTCAGAATCCTAGCGCATTTCTCATATTCCTCAAGTTATCTAGAAATTAAATCCGATTTTGACTTTACTAACTATTTCTATCCCTTACGGATTGCATAATAATTATTTTTTCTCTCACCGTCGGCGGATCATGATTTTTGGGTGGCGATGAATGCGACATAGTTCTCGCTAGTCGATGTTGGGGCGCCGGAGGTGGGGGGCGGCGAGGGGGAAGGCTCTCCGTACGATGCACTCTATCTCGCTCACTCTCCTTGCGAATACTGTTGCTGTCTCTTTCGGGACTTTCCCTAACCTCACTTCGCCTTTCTATACTTTCAATCTGGCCCACACGGGATGTCACGTAATCCTGGAAAATGTGAAAAAAAATTATTAGTAGAAAAAAAATTTAGGTCACGAACGACATCTCGCACCGGCTTCGTCAACCTCTGCCTTCGCCGTATTTTGGGTATCTACTGGCTTAAGAAGACATTTAACGAGCAACTTTGGGAGCGTTCAAGTATTACGTCACGCAATTTTTGGAGACTATTGATCCCACCCCCCCTATGCAACGCGCCGTAACGTGTTTCTGTACCCAATAGTAAAACGTTTCGTGACCTGCCAGTGACTCTATGCCTAAAAGTTACCATTATCTGGTGTAAAGAACTGGAAAGTCGAAAACAATATTAACTATAACACGTAATTTAATCCCCGCCCCGCATCGTAACGTTTTACAAAAGGAACCCCCAACTTCGTTACTTAATACGGTCCCTAATACATACTAATATATGGCACAATTTGTATAAGAAATTAATAACTGTCATACAAAAAGCGTTGTCAACATCTTAAATACGTGGTTTATTGACAAAAAATATTATTTTCTTAAGCAAATTGTGCCATATATTAGAATTAGATAGATAAGTGTTTCCCACGCCCCATATTGCCTATTTGATTGTTAGGCCAAGGATACACGGGCGGTTCACCCGCCGCGGAAAACCGCTTCTGAACCGCACTGGACACAATTTAATATGAAGTTGTATGCTGCATACTACACTGCGCGGTTTCCCGTCGCGGCTCACAGGCGGGAGAAATACGACCGCCGCATGCAGCGTCAAACCGCCGCTGATAACCGACGCTTAAAACTACACGGACGGTTTCCCGCTATCCCGCCGTCATTCTGCGCGGGACCTTGGCGCTCGCTCGTCGTTCGTGCGCTTGCGTGGCTAGTGTCGCGTCAAAATGTTCGATACGGAGCGTTTTATGGTAGAAATACAAGATCGACCTGCTTTGTATGATGTGCAGTCGAAGGATTGAAATTGAAATAAACAAAAGGCAGCGATAAACCGCGTCCCGTGTAGTTTGATGGTCTGCGGCAGCTTTGTCGAGCGGTTTCCCGCGGCGGGAGAACCGCCCGTGTAGCCTTGCCTTTAGGGTGCGCTATTAGAAAAATTCAATAAAATCATTTGGAATGTAAATTACAGTTTATCATTATATGTTTGGAAAATTTACTTACTGTGTTTCGTTAAACCTATCATTTAAGTTTCTTAATCGAACAATTAAATTTTTTAATATTTAAAAAATGTATGTTACATAAGAATTTTAGAAAGGCGACACGACTCAAAAAGGGTTGGTAATCATTGAGCTAGACACATAGCGTCATGAGCAAAACTTACAGTTTTAGCATCAGGCCGTTCTGGTAGAGTCCTTTGAGTTTGGTAAGACTTATCAGAGGCCTTTTCAGGGTAATTCCGGTCTGGAGGCCTATCAGTTCTTTCAGACTTAAATTCAGCCTGATGAGGCCGTTCAGGCAGAGTCCGTGAGGTCTGCCTGTCGGGAGGCACACGTGGACGATCACGACTTGCTTCTGAATCCCTTGAAAATGTTTCTTCTCTGTCTCTGTCTGATTCAGACTTCACCTGGAATTTTATTGGTGAGAATCAGAATCATTTAGAACTAATACAGTGACACTGCAACCTTTTAAGGTCTGGGCCTCAGATTTCTATATCGGTTTCGTGATCATATGTTTATTTTTTGCTGCACATCTTCGTGTCCCTAATATAATTATTATTGCGTTTCATCCGTAACATTTTTACCCTCATGCGTCTAAAGAAGTGTCACTTCTAAAAATCTTGATTAAAATTCGATAATCACGACAGTAATGTTACCTGTTGCGAGGTAGCACCAGATAGATGCTGTGGTGAAGGCGGTATCTTCGTGGCTTGCTCCAGAATCGCCTTTTTCTGTTCCTGCCCCGCTGCGAAGTATGAGAAAACGCACAGAACCGCGTAACAAATTTGGTCCGCCTGAAAATTTGATAGAAGATACATTACAAAAAGTTGAAGCAATTAAAGGAACATTTTGAAGCGTGTGCGCAGGCAAAATGAGTTATGGGATTGACTAATTTAGATAGATTTCCACAGCAAAACACGGCAAGCTACGTGAATAGTGCATGCTACACGATTTATAATACTGAAATTAGTTAAAAGTTAATAATTAAATAATAATAAAAAATTACACTAATTAAAAACAATAAAATTATTTTTAAAAAGTTACATTCTTTAAAAAAAATACAGTAATTTTTAAATGTGTGTTTTAAATATTATCTGATATGTTTAAAAAGATAATAAATGATATTTTCGAAAATGTTAACAGAATACTTAATTACCCTCGAAGAGTCATTCTATCTAAATTGTCAACACCCGTTAGCAACAAGCGTAAAAAACTAAAAGCGAAAAACATATAAAAAATTACATACATCATGAAACATAGGGTGCGTATGTCGATTCAGTTTCGCGAACATACAGATAATACCGAGAAAGCCAAATGGAGAAGATACGATGAAGATCAAGCACTACTCTTTCTGCCTACAACAAGATATTGATAAGTGCTACAAGGAGTGTTCAATAAACATTGATAATGCAAACACAAAATACTTAGGCAACGATGGATATAATAAAAATAAAAAGAAGCAATCAATTCTGTTTTTTTTTTAAAATAGAAGACATGCCAGTTTGATCTACATTATATATGACGTATAGTATGCCGTTGTATTGACGAAAGTACCGTAAAATTCGTGGTAATGGTATACATATACCAGGGTTGTTCAATAAATAGTGATAATGCGATATATTGTCCTTGGAAAGAAAAACAATAAATACTGTCAGGCATAGCCCAAACATTAGGTATAATAATAATAATAAAAAGAAGCAATCAATTCTTTTTTTGTTCAGTGGAATCGTTTGCATTGTGTTGGAACGTGTTCATAAAAATTATAACATAACATAACACACAGTAATAAAATATCTCTGTTTGGAACATTTAACTATATAGCTGGTAATTAGAGATTCATGCGAGTAAGAACTTCCATTGACGACCCCCGCACGGGACGGCCTAAATCGGTTGTCACTGAAGAAATGATTCAAAAAGTTGAGATCTAAACTAACACTAACGACGATCCGCCAATACAATCGTCGTTAGTGTTAGTTTTATAGAAGAAATGTAGATTTTTACAAGAGTGTTCATAATACATGTGTGTGCGTAGACACAAATAAACTGTCATACTACGATGAGGCGAGTCTTGCCTCGTATTACAAGAGCCCGGAATGAAAGCTTTACGAAATAAGAGTTCATTGGAGGAATGGTTGAGTTAAAATACTTAGAGAGAAAAGTGAATATTACCAGTGTTTTAAAAAGTAAAAACAACTGAATTTGGAATGTAAACAATTGAATTAAGGCAACGTATCATGCCCGTGAAAATACAAAATAGAAAACAAATTTACTACAATCAGTCCCTCCTATAATGTAGATATAAAATGAATGTAGTTTGTAATTAGGTCTAAATTAAAAATTTTGACATTAGAGGGGTTGAAAAGTTCGTAGGCTGACACATAGATGGCGCTACTAGTATTAAATAAATATGATTTTGAAATAGTCCTAACCTTCAAATAACACGTGTATACATTTGACAACTGTCGTACTATTAGTTTGTGACATATATATATTGAATGAACTTATTTCTTTAAATAAATAGATAAAAAGGAAAATTACAGTCTAAAGCAACGGACAGCCAAAATTAAATAAGAAAAGTCCACATAAAATTACAAAATTAATCTTACTGTGATCAATGATCATAAATTAAATAATGCTTACCATTACTGATTTGTACTTTCTTTGAGTTATTTGCCTTGTCTTGGGATCTGTAAAGGTATTTCTATTATAACGTTTATTTATTCGATTTAGAATCTTGTATAAAACGTAAAGAATAATTTTATCTGGCTAGGCGAAGTAGATTTATTAGAAATATATTCATTAAAATAGGTAATTAAAAGTTGTTTCTTTGTTTGTTTCGGTAATAAAAAAATAGTTGAAAATAATACTTGTGGTATTAATACTTACTGAATTCTTCTAAAACGAAGATACCTCCGTTCTGTGTGAAGCACTTTCGGATGTGATCCAGCCTCACAAAGAACTGAAAGATAATTTATAACATCAATAATTTGATCCACTGTTATCATTTAACACTACTTCAATATAGTTCTGACACAAAATTGTTCTTAGCGTACATGTAACATGCGTTAAGCCAAGAGGACTCTGTGGGAGCCAAAAACAATTTCCGTTTGAACTCTAAAGCTGGGAACAAAATATGCAAAAACACTACAAATCTACAATGCTAACATGCTGACAAACCATTAAATAGCTATAAATAAATATAAAATTAGCCATACAGATATTGTCAGAAAATAAATAGCTGCAACATCAGCAAGAACACGATTCACCCATATCACGAGTGTGACATCGGTGAACCGGAAACTAAGATCCGTATTCCATAAACATCGAAGTGATCGAGTCGAATGGTGGAATACGGACCCAAGTGTCGAAGTGTGAGGTGCGGTGAGCGAGAGCGCGGTGCCAGGGCTGAAGGCAGAACTCAGAACTTGTGAGATGGCAATGCTCTACGACTGACCTCGTCACGGCTTTCGCTACGGCCTCCGGAGACTAACCTCGGGCGAATGACGGATCTGACGGACGCCGGACGTTCCGTGAATGCAAGCTATCGGGTGCGTATGAACAAAAAGGGCGAAAGTGCATGCACGACGGCGCGAGCGCCAGCCGCACTCGGGTAACTAAACAACGCTAACGGCTAAAACAATCGAAAGCCTCAAACTACAAGTAAAGCCCTACGAGCTCGGACGGTCTATCGCTACCGACCGGCTTCTAAACCACTGTGTACCTCGAAATCCTTCAGGCGCCGGCAGCGGGTCCGCAGAGAGAACAAAAAATGTATATTAGTTGAGGGCCGAGCTACTCAAGGACCATCTCAAAAGTTCCTAGCGGAGCGCCGCAGCGGGATGATGCAGACAGATAGCACATGCACAAATCATATGTAAATCGGACAACGGTTAACCTTAAAATGTAAATAAAATAAACAAATGACTAGCTATTACATCGAAATAGTAATAGAAAATACAAAAATTATTTAGCAAAGCTGCGTTATATAAAAAAATTTAGTCGTTCTTTTGTTGGACATCAAAGTTTCGTAGGATCAATTAAGGAAAATGAGAATAGGAAAGTTTGAGTGGTCCTTGCATGGTCTCGATATACAATGGGTCTAACGTCTAATCTGGGTTCATCTAATTACTTAATTTCAGCAGATTTAAAATGCTAGTAGAATATAGTAACAGATAAGCCAGCGCGGGCTGAGTCCATTGCATTTTGTCGACGATATTCTATAAAAATTTCAAAGATTCCCAAAAGCGAAAACATTGACGGATAGATCCTTACCTTACAATGTACTGTATATAGGTATTGATTTAAAAAGCAGACAACAGATTAAGATATAAGTGAAAAAGCGACATACCTTGCTATGATGAAACAGTAGCCCGACGCCTTCCATGCAAACCTTGAATGTGTCAACAATATTGCGTTAGATAGGAAAATGTATTTTCTATGTACTAGAGCCTCTAACAAATGTTGTATATCTTGTTAAGACTCTTGTGGCCTGTATCGCAGTTTCATAATAAAGCCAAGAAAATGGCTGATAAATTTTAAGAATTTGTCTTTAATAACGGTTATTTTTCATAAACGAATTTTTGCAATATAAAATTGGTATAAAGGAGAATGAAAGATGACTGTGATAGACCTGTATGAGTCCCCCCTCTCCTGAAGCGCAGTCTTGGACCGGAAACTCTCCACCCAGTTCCGCTGCTTCCTGTTTTCGCCCACTCTTCTCCATTGCCTCCTTAATACTGTAGTACAGTGCTTTGCACTGTGAACAACCATGGAAAATTTTTTCATGCAAATTTAATAAACGAAGTCTGCTAGGGTCGCGTAAACTTAAACTGGCTAGAGTATTCGACGTCATGATAGGCCCCCAAAAAAAGATTTTTCTCTGCAGGAAATAGGACTGTACACTTCGTGGCATTTTTAGTTTCGAACATCGAACATTAAAAAGCTACTCAGCTATTTATTTTTAAATATAGGGGTCAAACGGGCAGGAAGTTCACCTGACATTAAGTGATACTCATAGACACTGAAATTGCCAGGAGGCTCGCAAGTCCGTTGCCGGCCTTTTAGGAATTGGTACGCTCTTGAAGGACCCTTAGTCGAATTGGTTTGGAAATACTTCAGTGGGCAGCTGGTTCCACATAGTGGTGTGCGGCAAAAACTGCCGTACTACCCACCTTTTTCGTATAATATTTATGTAACTGTGTTTGGCCACCATTCTTCCTCCATAGACATAAGACGCGAATTTTTGGACTATATGTCATATTCACTAGTCGCTCGTACCACCATCTTTCTATGATTGTACCTGGAAATAATATTTTAATTTTAAACATCCCAGAGAGACGGGTTTTTCATATAAAGAAAACATATTGCTAGCTAATTGTCAAGTATTTTTAAGTCAACTTTAAAATGGAAGTTGATCAGACCGGATGTTGTGGAATTCGATATTTGAATTGCAAGTTTGTCTACAAATAAATCAAGATATGTTATTTGTCTAAGTTTTATCTAAATCTGTTAAGTAGTTATTAAGTTATATTAATATATGTACTAGTAGACCGGCCAAGCATTGCTGTGGCTAAGGTTTTTGTTATATTACATAGTAGCAAACTATTCAAGGAAAACGGTAGGAGAACACCAGTCATGGGGACCACCATGCTTTGTTGGTGGTTATGGCATTAAATTGTAGCTTATGTGAAACGTTGGTACTTTCACCATAGCGCCATCTGTTGGAATTGTGACTATCAAATAATAAAGAAATATTTTGCAATAAAATAATATTGCGGATATAAATTGAGATGTAAGCTATCCTATATATAATATCTTTTAAGTTGGATCAAACAACACACGGTGTGCAAATTTGATGGATATTGGTTCGGTAGTTAAGGAGTGCATAGCGGACAAACAACGTGATACGTAATTTATATATAATATGTCTTTATTCATTTTTATATTTTTTATATTAAGATGTAATATTAAAATGCTTTAAATAGAATATATTTTTCCTCTATACCACTCACGTTTAACAAAATAATGCTAATTATTGCTATGTTATGTATAATGCTGAGAACCTTCGTATGGCTTACTCTCGGAGCGTAACTCCGACGATTCATGAAATCGCCACGCTTATAAAAGAAAACCTGAATGACCAAAATGTACAGCCATGGTTCGTACCGTACATGTATAATAAAAGTACCGCGGTAGATAAGATATATACTAAGATTGACATTACCTTGCGTAGAGCGTAACACAAGGCCATCTGTGCGAACCTCCATAAAACGCAATGGACCACTGGCGTCGCGTTCGTGCACCGTGAACGACGCACGACGAGCCTGACGCGAGCCCAAAGCTTTTAGCTCTATGTCATTGCCGTGCTGAAATTTAGATATTTTATTTTAAATGTTATATTTTTTGTTGTTCAATTATGCCAGGCGATCGCCTGCATGCGAGAGCAGTGTTGGCCTGAGGTCGGAGATTCGAATTCGTGCATCAATGGACTTTGTGTTTATGTGCGCTTTTGACACTCGCTCGTACGGTAAAGACACCGGAGAGCGGCATATCGATAGCGTAGGTCAGGAACAGAAGACTAATTACTTATTATAAAAAAACAAATGATTACGAAACAGATATCCGCGGCCCAGACCTAAGAAACGGTTGTAGAGCCACTTCTCTTGCATAATATATTGTATTTTGATGGCTATATGGTTAAAGGTGATTTAATATTATAAAACTGAAATGTTTGAAAGTCCATTTATAAAACAACAATATCAAAATTATTCATAGATTACCACTGTAAAAAAATTGAGGCCCAACAAATTATTACTTAACTATGCATGCGAATAAAGAATAAACAAAAACCCTTACCAAATTATGCACCACATCCAGGAGATGGTTGACTTCCTGGCTATAAACCAGACCGATATGACTTTTAGCCAACAGCCTCCGCACTTTGTTCCTCACAATATCTGCTTCAACGCCAAACAATACCATAGCAGCTGTCAAATTGTATAGAGCCGTTGACAGCAATCTATCCTCTTCATGTTCCAATCTCTTCCTTTCTGTTTCACTTAAACATTTGTAACGTTCCATCATTTCGTTCGCTCCTTGGTCCATTCCTATCATATCGCGTTCTTGGCTCACAGCGTCCAGGAATGCGTCCTCCCAAAATTGCATTTGGTCCCATAGGTTAGATCTTTCTTTACCTGTACAACAGTTGATTGTCTTATTCATAAACGTAATTTGATGATCATGAAAGATATTTGCTTTGATAGTCTGTGCCGAAAAAGAACCATGAATTTGATGTCACTGCAGTGCTGCATTATCTTTTTGTTGGCAACACTGGCTTGGCTGGCATTGTATTCGTGTAGTAAACCTTACAAGTTTTATAAAAAATCTACTCCAGTTGTCCAAAACATACTCGTATTTGTACAATAAAACAAAAGAATGTTTAAGTGAAATAATATTTGTAAAGAATAGGATGACGTACCTATTAGCCCCTGGTATAAATATGTTCGAGCCGTATCAGGTGAGGTAAGAGGAGAAGTGGTTGGTACTCCAACAGGTGCCTTAAAGGTTGTACCAGACTTCGAAGAGAAAACGCTCGCTGCTCTTGGTTTGCCACCGCGACCGGCCTGCGTAAACTGTTTTTTCTATAATTTTTGCCTTTAGTCACAATGGTTATTTAAAAAGTTTTAACCTTATCAAGTGCTAAGAGCACTATCTCGGTTCCTTTAATTTTCGTTTTGTAACAAAAATCGGTTTCAATACACATAAATTCACCAAAAATTACTTAAGTACATTTTGGACAGTAAAAATAATTTGTTCTATGTGACGACATTGCTAATGAATTAAGTTAGACTCCTCTTGTGATATATCATGACTAAATAGCTGTGCATAGACCATTTTGCGCTTGGAACCTAAATCTTAAAATAAGATATTTAAAACAACTTGTACTAATGAAAGAAAGACATGCGTAAAAAGATTTAAAATTTGTTGAAATTGCATGAAGACGTAATAGATGTGCTAATATTTAACGAACCTACGATGATATACTGATTTTAGGAAGTATTATTTTAATGATAATGACTGTACATAGACAATAAGCAAGGCAGTGATAATGAAATGTCACGCATTTGAAAACAAGTGAGTGTACGCTTAAAGCAGAAGATTATGAAGATAACATCTCTCAACTTTGTAGCAATAGATTTTTACTTATACGTTCGCAAGGGAAAAGTAGGCCAGTGTCCAATTCTGTGGTTTGGTTGATCACTTGGAGTCCATAAATTATGTCAAATTATTGATCATTTTAATATAGCTACCCAAATCGTATTTGAATGTTTTATTATGATCACTTTTGGGGCAATTTAAAAATCAGTGTGAAGGCTTGCATTATGATTAACGTGTACCGTGACCACAGTTAATTAATAAATCAATTTAATTAAACGATAAAACAGTGTGTATGTATAAAAAATAACTAATCACTATTACTAAAACCGAATTGACAACCCACATCTGACAGCTGTCTGTGAACACTGACATCTTTCAGTGATGCCAACTCCGACAAAAAGTTACCCCGTAGGACCAACTTCAAATACCCCTAAAGTTTTTGTTGTACACTCGGTATGAGGTAATTTTAAATATGCATTGAAAATATATTCAATATTAAATATCTATATATATATATATAATATTGGAACTTAGATAGTTATACCTTGGAATTTTACATTTGGTTTAATTTGTTGGTTCAAGGCTATATGAATTGCGTGTGTTTGAAAAATCATAATAAAGTACCCCCTATAAATCCCCCTAAACATCTTGATTCCCCCTAAATTCGGAGTGAAAACCCAAAAGTTAGCACCACTGACGTCTATCTTTTACTCGTACGGTGTTTCCTACATTAATATTTTTCTTGTTGAGAGATGTCTCACATCAAAAGCGAAGACAGCGTGACGACTTACATCAAGATACATGACGTCAGTATCAGAGAGATTTGATTTATATTGATGTTCGTGAAGAACTCTGTTGGTCGTGATAGAGCCTTCGCCCACCGAGCACTCTGATTGCACCTGTCGCCAATTAAACACCTTTATATACGCACTGGTATCCAGTGCATAGTCAACAATGACATGCAAATGTTCTACCATCTTTATAACTATACAATCCTACATTTGTATTTTACTCATGAGTCGGTTATGTGAAAATTTAAGTTTTAGAAGAAGAGTTTAATATTTGATAATTACCGACTCGAATACTTAAATTTAGAAGCTTATTTCAAAATATTTAATATTCAAAAATTGTTTTTCAAAATGTCTTTAAACTTCTAAATTTAAGTGATATTTAACACATAATGGGTAATAGACATTAAGCCATGCTAACTTAACACACATATCATGCGATAATATAATTAATACTTACATCGGAATCGTACGTTGTTAATTTACTGAATAGTAGATTTCTTTTTGAATTCAACATGTCCTTAAAGATTTCTGTTGTAGTCTGGGCGTCATTTGGATCCATTTCTGGGTAGTTAAGCACTGGCATATCTGGGTAAAATATTTGGAATATATACATTGAAATGCAATATAGGTACACTACCTTCATATTATTTTCTAGTTCTTATAACACGTGGAATTGTGCGATACAAAAACATGGTAACGTTATTAAAACTTAGAACCCAGCGTGGAATAAATACCTACACGCTCGCTGAATAGCATATATGTAAAAATTGTTACATAACTAATAATATATAAGAGTTTTTCCTTTATCATATCAATATTTGAGTTTTTTTTTATAAAACTTACCGCTTTCGAAAAAAAATAGGTGAGACAAAAATGTGCCCCTGCCCCATTGAGGTAATTGAAAAACTACCAGATCATAGAAATGATTGATATATTATTATTACATATATCTACTAACATATTACATATAATACTATGGTCCTGTAGACTAATTTTTATTGCTATTTTAATAAAAACTAATTACCAGATTGCGAGCTTTTTCTTGAAGACGGTGTCGAGGGCGTGTCCAGATCCTGTCGATAATCAGTAAGAGAAGACCCTCCCATCCCGCCTTGCTCCAATCCAGCCACTTCCTTGCTCCAGTAGTGCGTATGAGCCATTTCTGTCAACTGGAACACTGAAGCCATCCCGCCCAATCCGAAATTGGAGTACGTGAATTCTAACCCATGAATCACGGCTTGAAGGACTTTTAACATCCCTTTCCAGACTGGTTTGCTTACAAACTGTTAACAATAGACCATTTTTGCTAAGCCATTATATTTTATTTTAATTTCGATATTAAATTGGGCTTAGTTAATGAAACATATTTTATATTAAAAAAAAAAAACAATGTTGTCTAGGAATTTAGTCAGAGTATGTAATTTTTAAAATAAAATTTCACCGGTATGATTATTAGATAAATTCTATACCAACGAAAGTAAAGCCACATATGCAAACTTTATGGCCCATTCTTTTCCGGTTATAATACATTGCCTGGTGATAATAAACAGTAAATCTGTACTAGCATGCATTTGCAACGGTCTGTTTATTGAATGAAATTTAAATGAAAAAAGATTTTTATTCTTAACACGGTGCTCTAGGGTTGTCTGCGAAAAATCTGTCCAGAATTGCGGTTGTCGAATTTTAAAAAGTAAAATATTGCTCCAAGTGAATGTGTGCGGATAAGAGGTCCCAACCACCCATCCCATGCGATTGGAGAGGACCCAGCAGAGCAGAGTCCGCCCACTTAAAGAATGAGAATGCGCATAGGAAAAGAAAAGGATAGCGGGGGGGGGTGTAAAATTATGCAACATTTTGGAGTCAGTTTATTATTTAAATAGAGAAATAGTTATTTAATTTTTTTTTAATCAATTAATTATTTATGTGTATATTTTTATGTGACACTAAAGTATATATACATCTTTAGTAAAAAAGAAGGTTGTAGTGATTCATATATAATAATACCCTGATTAAAAATATTGATTGAAAAAAAAATTTACCTACTACATGCAAATTATAATCTATAAATGTAAACAGAGAATTTTGAAATCAATGAAAACAATGGAAAAAATTCAAAACCGTGGAAGTGAATTTTTTTAATCAGGGTAATCTTGCAAATTTTATTTTTATTATAAGAAGACAAAATAAAAAAAAATTTGTATAAAATATGTTCATAAATAAGCATCTCGGAAGGTCGTTGTATAGGGGATCTTATACATTCTAAATTCAAAAAAGCCCGCTCACCCCCCCCTGGGAAAGAAAAAGCTGGAACCCGCAGAGCAGGCAGCCAATTAAAGTCTTAAATTTGTCTCCAACTACGATTTTGTTCCCTAGTGGATAGTACCAGTGACCTTAGAGCTGGTGTGTCCCTCGCTCAACGAATAAGTATCGCAATACAGCGAGGAAATGCTGCCGGCAATAAAGGTACACTTCCACAGGGACCACACATTTTAAATTTGTTTTAATTTTCTTTTTATTAATTATTAATTATTTTTAATATTACTATGTATTTTAATAATACCTTATTTATATCATTTTTAAGTAACAGTAGGCAAACGGGCAGGAGTTACCTGATGTTAAGTGATACCGAACACTGACACTTGCATTGCCAGAAGGTTTTCAAGTGCGTTTCCGGCCTTTTAAGAATTGGTACGCTCTTTTCTTAAATTATGTTAAGTTTAGTTGGTGCTGGTTCCAAAGAACATTAAACATCATAAATACACATGCTTAGAAGTTGATGATCTTACCACATCTTCCACTTTATCCGTGGGCGTAGTCTTCCTGTTAATATTGCGATTGAGTTTGCTCAGCACCATATTTCTGTACGACTCGTCTTCCATCAGTTTCTTTAGGCGATTTAACTTCAGCCATCCAACGCCTTCGCCTTCTAAGACGTGTTGGATCAACTGTAAATAAATCTCGTTATTTGAAAATTGGTAGTTTTTTACTTCTGTAAAAAATGTAAAGAAATTATTTTAGACAAATCAAATCGGCTCTAAATGCCTGTCAACAATATTTACCATGGATATCTGATATACTACTGAACCAATTTTGATGAAAATTGGACTGTGTCCTAAGTTGAAATAAACATCAAAATAATTATCTCGATTTGGCTTTTAATTTCTGAGTTTGTAAAAAAACATACCAGCAAACATAGTCAAATATCTATTAATTTATTATCATATCAATAGGTAATTAATATAAATTTAACTCATAACCTGTTTGAAGTCGGATAAAAACATATACTCGTATTTACTATAAAATTTATTATAAAATAAAATTTAGATCTTAAAACAAGAATACGATTTAAGATTGTATATTTATATATTGTTGAATATATAAATTTGTTAAGTAAACTTACGTCATTAAGGAAAGCCTGGTTCTCAGTATTAGGTGACCTTGGGGGCTGCGCTTGCGCTGGTGAAGTTGGCGCAGAATGACGAATTAAGGGCGAGCGTTGTACTAAGCCCCTGGCACCTTGCGAGAACGGACCAAAGTTTGCTGACAAATGCGTGCCTGTTGGTTCGGGAGGCTTTACTGGTTTTCCTGTAATAATAAAACATTTAGAAACCTTGGATACTCGTTTTTGACAAACATTACGGTTTGAACGTTTAAATTATAGGAATAATTTAAAAAACGTAAAAACCTTTCCCAAATCCAGCTCGAAGGACCAAAATGAACCTTTCTGGGGTTTCCATTATTAAAAATAAAAAAATGCTGTTTATTACTCAGTTAAATGGAAAATAGTTTTAATATACTTGTAAAATGCTACAAAACTTAAAATAAAGATAGGGAGACAGAGTTTCTACATCTGATTTTATAAAACTAAGAAAAGGTACCACGAGCAGAAACATATAATACTTTAATCGACATACACATAATACTCACAGAATTAAAAACGATTCAGACTGAAGAACCTTTTTTATAATCTCAGAAAAATAAAGAATTAAAAAAATAAAATTTAAACAAATTAAAAAAGTTTGGTCCCTGTGGCAGTGTGACCTTTAACGCTGGCAGCAATTCCTCGCTGTATTACGATATTTATTCGTTAATTTTCTATTTATTCATTTTTAATTATAATTATTATTACTATGTAGGTTAAGAAAATTGTAAATTTTATTTGATTGTTATGTTTAGGTCTTAGTAAAAAAAATATTTCCTAATAAATTCAAAATTTCTAAATGTATTTATTCAATAACTAGTTACATTGTTTTAGTAGATATTGGAGCCCCTGAACTAAGTCTAGGGAGACCTGTACAACAAAGTACCCCGCTCTGCCAACGGTATAATGAAATTGTAATAAATGTTTTTGTGTCGAAATCCAATTACGAATGTATGATAAAAAATAATTTAAATACCTTTAGATCCAAAGAAATCACTAAACATGCTAGACGTGGAAGCGGCAAGTCCGTTTAAATCTGAACTAATATTTGAGAAGAAATCTCTATGCGTTGTTTGTAGGAGAGTTGTTGTTTGAAGGGCACCTGACTCCCGCCGACCCATTGGCCCAGAACCGTCCTGGCTTTCGCCCTAAAAACATTATTTACACTATAGGCCTAGGGGCTTCACGCGCGACTCTTATCCCTGAGGTCGTAGGTTCGATCCCCGGCTGTGCAACAATGGACTTTCTTTCTATGTGCGTTAAAATTCGCTCGAACGGTGAATAGAAACATCGTGAGGAAACTGGCTTGCGACACTTGAAATGGCGTGTGACAGGCACATGAGCCTGATCACCTGCTTGCCTATTAGATTGACAAATGATCATGAAACAGATACAGAAATCTGAGGCCCAGACCCAAAATTTCTGTAGCGCCATTGATTTTTTTATTTAATGCAAAAGTACGCTATATATATATGGTATATTTGACATATGACAAAAAGATAATAATACTTTATTTAGATCTCAAACAATATACACACAAAGGATGTAAAGAGCGGTATTAGTGCTTCATTTTAAAAGCAGTTTCTTCCAGACAATCCAACTTAATTTAAAAGGTACTTCAAAAGTCGATCCTTCTAACTAAAAGGTTTATGGTCTGAAGTCTAAATATGCAATACTACGATACTAATATTTAAATTTATTAAATTCATACCATTTTTAATAATATTTATCAATCTTTACAATAGCAAATGTTCATAGCATTAGTAACAAGATGCGGAATTTTATTAAAAAAAAGCTATTAGCCAATCGTTCCAATATATTTTAAATTAATTTTAAAATAAGTATGCTGACCTGCTATAGTTAGAAGATACTTTGAAGGAACGAACAATCACATACCTTAAGCAAACCTTTCTTTGCCGCAACTTCTTTTGCACTTTTAGTTAAATCGCCCAAAGTCGACTTTCCAACATACGTAAGATCTTCAAAAGTATTTTTGCTAACCGCGGTTGCTGTTTTACTCGCTTCCAGCGCAGATTTCGAAGCTTCCTGAACACTTTTCGAAGCTTCTTCTGCTGCCTTTTTAGCGTGCGAAGTCAGCTAAGGAAAAATATTATATATTATGATTTACTCGTCCCAACTTGTAAAGACTTGAAACTGCTAATAAATAAGTTTTCTATGAAAACGACAAATATCTTGTCACTTTATTAATGTTCGGATTAGATTCAGAATCTAGATTTCGCGCTAAGAATTCAAAACGGTCTTAAATAAGAGATTTAGGTCCAACTTTCGACCCTGAATCTTATCCAAAGTCTAAATGAAAATTCAATAAAGCCCAGAGTTAATATTTACTCGGTTTTATTATTTTTATTGTGAACTGTAGCTCTAGCAAAACTGTCAAATATAAACGCTTGATTTAAAATGTTTGGTTCAAATAATTGTCTCGGTACGTGGCCATTGTTGGTCAAACTCAAACTCAAAATAACTTTATTCATAAGTAACCAAGAACACTTATGAACGTCAACAGAAAAAATGTTAAATTGATTCTAAATTTACATTATACAATGGCATAGAGCGGAAAAGAAGAACGCAATAACCTCTTCGCCACTCTTTACGCGCATATAAGTAGCCAAAACAGCTTAAATGATGTATAAAAATGTGGGCTCGATAATAGGTGCGAAGGGCGTGCACAGAATTATGTAATTAAAAAGTTTACATAGATAAAAATTACAACAGAGACCAAATTTACACTTTACAGTATACAGCCTGTCAGAGCAGTGTTGGCCTAGTGGCTTCAGCGTGCGACTCGTAGGTTCGATCCCCGGCTGTGCACCAATGAACTTTCTTACTATGTGCGCATTTAACATTTGCTCGAACGGTGAAGGAAAAGATCGTGAGGAAACCGACATGTCTTAGAGCCAAAAAGTCGACGGCGTGTATCAGGCTGATCACCTACTTGCCTTTTAGATTTAAAAATGATCATGAAACGGATTCCAAAAACTGAGACCAAGACCCAAAGAGGTTGTAGCGCCACTGATTTATTATTTTTTTGTATACAGCCAGTTATAACAAAGTGTACTAAAATTTTGCATAACTCCCATAAAAATAATATTGTTGTTTTAATTTAATTTATAATGATTTTGAATGGCGCTATGTGTGACTTTGACGCATTGGGACTTTGTCTAAATAACTAGTAGCTATTAATTCGTTCCCAAGCGCTAACATCATTCAAATATTGTAGCGATTTCTAAATGTAATGAATTTATTATATATAATATACTACAGTTTAAGTATATGTACACGTGCATAAAATGTTCGAGACGTGCTATTACTTAGAATGCTTGTAATATATGAAACTGTCAATATATGTAGGATTTTGTGTGTGATTTGTGAATTTGATTCCTGGTTTCGGTTTCACAATAGAATATTGGTAAATTTGTTATTTCCAAACAGTTTTAAAAGATACTAGATTCTAGGAGGCAATTAACTATTTAACAGTTGGTAATATAATACTTTAGGTATTTTTAAATATAGTTTTACATAGTCCTGTTCGATGAAAATCATTAAAAATTCAGTGCGTTTAGTGAATTAAGTTTTCTTCGACCGAAACCAGGCATTAACAAAATATGCAGTGTTGTGACCAGACGTGTCGAACTACTAAATACAAATGGGCAACTAGACTATCACTTCCATTCGGATACCTTATCAAAAGGAGCGAATATTTTCTTATCTTCTCCGTGTTCCTGTCCTTTCTTTTCGATAAAGCAAAAAATTCAAATAAACAATTCATTATGTCACAAACAACGTATATTATGGGCTCTTAAACTACTAAACCGATTTCAATTAAATTTGCACACCGTGTGCAGTTTGATATAACTTAAAAGATAGGATAGCTTACATATCTCTATATTAAATATATAAAATTTTCGTGTCACAATGTTCGTTCCTCCTCCGAAATGGCTTGTCCGATTCTTATGAAATTTTTTATGCATATTCAGTAAGTCTGAGAATCGGCTACTATTTATCTTTCAAACCCCTAAGTGATAAGGGGTGTCCACTGTCCACCCCTAAAAATGTTGTTTTGTATTGTTTAATTTTTTAGACAATTTTTTTTGTTTTTATTTTTTTATGATACAACTTACAAAAATACATACAACCCTTAATTTTCACCCTACTACGATCAACACTTATTTTTATTATAGTAGATAGTTATTTTTATTGAGCTAAAAAAAAAATCCTAGAAATAATATACATGGCAAAACAAACGCTTGCCGTGTAAGCTAGTATAGGTACATAATTCAACTGTACGTGTGTATGTCACTGAGCTCCTTTTAAACGGCTGGACCGATTTGAATGATTTATTTGTATGCGTTTGGGTGGAGCCCTGGATGGTTTAGATACACAAATCAGCCCGACAGATGGCGCTGCAGTCAGTACTTTCATACTTTATTTAATATCCTAATCGCTTGAAATATCAGGCAGGACAACGTCTGTCGGGTCCGCTAGTTGACTATACAACTCAATATTTAGTATAAAAATAATAGTTAAGTTTACGCAGTCTTTTACGGGAATTTGACGGGGTTTTAGTACTATATTTTTGACTAACCTTATCCATGTGGGCCAATAAACCTTCCTGACTACTTTGTCGCGTTGTCTCTCTTACTAACTCTTTGGCCTGAGCTGCAAATTGTTCTAATAGTGAAGTTTGAGACGCCTGTCTAGATACACCACCAGAACTCTGAAATGAATGCTAAGATTCAGCAGAGATTTAACGATGAAATTTTCAATGTAACTGGGTCATCGGGGTGCTTAAAATAATAGAGGATATTAGTTTTACTCTATATTAACCACTCGCGTACAACAATAGAATATGAGCGTAATAATGAAATGTTAATTGCTATGTAACTAATGAATGCAATGTAACAGTTGAAGAGAGTGCCTACGTCTGGCTATACTCTCGGGGCGTTACTCCGAAGCTTATAAAACTTAGAACGCCTCAGTGAGCAGAATATTAGATTTGACATAAGAGAGTCAAGAGGTGATGAGGTCTCTGACTCTCACTCTCAAATTCAAAAGTGGGGCAGATAAATGCTTTCAACCGTGAGGTCGTGCGTTCATATCCCAGTTGTGCACTAAAGGATTTGTGTATTGCATACAAAATACCTAATCTAGTTAGTATCTAAGTTTAACCTATAAAATAAACATGATTTAGAGCGTACCAATTCTAAAAATGCCGGCAACGCACTCACGAGCCCTCTGGCATTGAGAGTGTCCATGGGCGGCAGTATAACTTACCATCAGATGAGCCTCCTGCCAGTTTGCTCCCTGTTCTATATAAAAAAAAACATTTGCAATTTCCAGCCAAAACCCATAAAGGTTGTAGAACTGGATTTATAAAAACTGGAACTTAAAATCTTACCTTAGTGCGGTTAGCAAACTGCGTACGCGCATGAGTCGTATTGTCGTGGGCGGGGCTTGGCTCGCGTCTCGCGCGCACCACCGTCGCTGGGGTTGTTGTTGAATTCGAGTCGGATTCGCGACCGAAACTACCACTGTCTGTGTCCTATATATATTATTAAGAATGATAAGATTTATGATAATGAATTAAATAATTACAGGGTTATATTAGTTTTACGCTACCTTTAAATACTACCTCCTAAACGGATATAAGCGAGGATTAAATATGTGTTGTAAGTAATGTTACTAATATTTATTACTATTATTATGTATATGAATAATTGTAATGTAGAGGGACGGTAAAACTTGTTGAGTTTGTTGCCCGTTCTTCTCAGAACAATACCTCCTGGTAGTTTTGAGAACGGTTGGCGTAGTCTTGCTCTTTCGCAAATTTTGTAACTGATTTTGACATTCATAAGCATGCCCTAAGACGCATCTGAACTGAATAAAGGTATTTTGATTGAGTTGATTGATTGATTGACTAGCAGCTTATGAATCTTATGCGCGTGTATTTGGGGAAATTTTCTAACATATTTTTAAAAGAGTCCAAAGAGGATGCATTAATTACACTTTCCGGAAGCCTATCACTACTAGCTTTGGGAGAAAGTTCTTTAGGGAATTTGTATTATATTAAGTGGTCTTCAGTTCTAAAGAACTACCCCTCAAGTGTGTATTTTCACTTAACATAAAGAGCTTTTCAATTCTTGGAACATTTTAGTGGCCAGTGAGGATTTTATAGGTTTCAATGAGATCTCCTCTTAATCGCCTGCTTCCTGAAGCAGTAAGATCAAGTGCTTTCAGAGGCTCATTATAAGGTTTGTTCTTAAGTTCTCTGACCATTTTCGTGGCTCTTCTTTGAATCCTTTCAAGCATATTAATATTCTTTATGAAAAAAGAGTAATATAGAACGCGTATATAGCGTAAGGAGTATATAGGAGTACTTAATATAGGTATGCTCTGCTGAGAGAAAGCGAAGAGTTAGAGAGTTAGTTAGTTAGATATGTAATAGAGCTAATAGAAAACGTAGAGTTCCCATGTTTGGATAATATGTTTTTTTTAATTTAGTAAAATGTTTGAAAAATGCTCACTATTTCGATTCTCTCACTCTTCTTTATTTTATTTTTTAAATAAACCTTTTTATTTTTGGATTTTAATGATAGGGAACTATTACAAGTGTAATGGTTGTTTTAATGAGACCTTATTTATCGAAATCGATAAGAAATGCTCTGCTCTGTTGGGTGTGCTGCTAGAACTCTAATTTTTGTGTGCTCTGCTGTTAAGTACTCTGCTAACTTCACAGATACGTCAAAGGGCACGTCAAATTGACAGATAACAATTTAATATTATGAATGGAGATTAACGCCATCTATTGCCGCAGAGCTGGTCTTACAATATTCCGCTATATTATTGACAAAATAAACATATGTATCTCTTTTTAAAATACAGAAGAATCTTAAAATGCTTTCGGTAGCGGTGAATGATATTTTTAAGGTAATTATTTTCACGTAAGCCTAAATTAAAATACAGATTATAAAAGTATTACTTACACTTTTCTTGACAGGCGTAGGTTTCCCTATATCTGTATTGGCTGGCACTTCATCATCAGAGAGATCACTGTGTTCTGAACTGGACGGTGATGGTGATGGAGACGTGGACTCACGCGCTTGACCCTTTTGTTCTTCAGTTTCCTCACCGTACATTAGTGATGAGGGTGGACTGTACACCTATAAAACGAACGAACGAACTTTTATATGTATAATCTATCTTTCTAGGAATATCTTGTAGGTACAGGTAGGTAGTAAAATGTGAGTATAATGTGATTTATCTACTTAAAGTGGTTTTCAAAAAAATTTTTTTTTTTCATTGAACAGGGGGCAAACGGACACTCATCTGATGTTAAGTGATACCACCGCCCTTGGATACTCTCAATGCCAGATGGCTCGCGGGTGCGTTGCCGGCCTTTTAAAAATGCTACGCTCCTATCTTGAAGGACCCGAAGTCGAATTGGTTTGGAAATACTTCAGTGGGCAGCTGGTTCCACATAGGGCAAAAACTGCCTTAAGTAACGCTCAGTTGTGGAAGGACGGACGTTGAGGTGATACGGGTGGAATTTTGTATTCTGCCTCGACGTCCGATGATGAAACTCAGCTGCAAGTATTAATCCGAACAACTCCTCTCACATGGTAAATGCGGTAGAAGATGCAGAGTATTAATTAATAATTAATATTGCTTTTCTTATAGACGGCCTCCTTAATATTAAACTTTTTGGTGCACAAACAAATTATGTAGAGACTTACTGTTTTAGGATCCAAAGACGACGAAAGCGTCATCGGCACTTGGACTACTGCGTTATATGTTTCACCTATAACGTGCTGCATACCTCCTCCTAAAAATTATTCAATAAATTAAATTTGATTAACGGTTAAAGACCGGACGCTAGCAACATTAACTTCGCCTGAGACTGATATTATAAGCTTTATGTAAAACCAGTGCCGCTATAATTATTTTTAGGTCTGGGCCTCTTCTATTACCGACCTCACGAATGAGAGTCGCATCCTGAATCCACTGGGCTAACACTGTTTCACGAGACAATATTGAAAAAAAAAACAACCTGGGGATAGATCCGATGATGCCATTTCAGAAACGAAATCACTTAGAGACGAATACGACGAGCTGGTACTTTCAGCGCCGTCAGAATCTGAACCACTTTCGTCTGGAAACAAAAAGGTTTTATTATTTATACTTATAGTCTATGTCTGTCTATGGTTGTTAAGTAAACTTAAGATATTAGATATTTAAGGTTGTAAAAGTTAAATAAGAATGTTTTTAACACTTATAACTTATCTAATTAATTAGATATAAAGTGCTAAGAAGATCCGTGTAACTTCCTTGCACTCGAGTAGTGCGCGATATAACGGCACACAAATTCTTAGGGGACTTTTTGTATCGGGTCCGCCCGCGTCCGCGAAAATACAAAAAAAACATTTTTATTTATTAATATGGAATATAATAATTCTAGTGTTACATGTAATTTTATGTTTTATTGTTTATTATTTATGCACTTCTTACACTGAATAGTAGGTGAAGAAATCACTTGACGGACCGTCCGTTGGCTAATAACTTATGTAACTAGTGTTTTTTTATTTGTTTGTAAACAAAGTGTAAATATATAAATAATCTATAGATAACTACTTGGCGCCTTAAGAGTCACATAATAAATATTCAATATAAAACTAAAGACCTAAGAAAATTTATTAAAAAAAAAAAGTGATTCAACAGATAGAACTATATACACAAGTAGTAGTACTAGTTGTTACCAGTAGGTTGATTTTCCTGACGCTGCAACTGTCGTAAAGCGCCATTTAGTGAGCTCCCATCATCCCAAACGGCAAATCGTACTGGTTGTAATGTGTCTGCGAACCACTTCGGTTTGTCTCCAACTTGACGTGGGTCAAATACGCCCGTTTGAACCCGTAGAAAAGCTACATTGTGTGGTGTTAGTGACCACTCTGCTAGGAATTCCACTGCCTGAAATATTAAAATTATACTAAATATTACTATCGACATATTTATATGTTGGCAGAGTGAGATCACAGTAGCGATATTGTGTATCTTATGTATTTATAATTTAAAAAAAAATCGATAATGTAAGGATAACGTATTTATTTAAAAACGGTTATTCACCGGTTTATTGTGCTTAGTTGTTAAGTAAATGGAAGATTAATAAAATCTATACACAAAATATAGAATAAAGAGAGTGAGATAGAGAGGGAGATAGCGGGGATAGATTTGAAATAGTGAAGATGAAAGACAAATGGGCGAATTTAGAGGAGAGCTTCGAGAGCTTCGAGAGACGACCGCCGATGGAGTGAAGCCCGTTAGGGGGCGTCCATCAATTACGTGAGGTCTTTTTACACGCTTCACCTGCATGTATGTATGTAACCGACTCCTTCGGACTCGATTTTGACCCACTTTTAACGGACAGATTTAATTCAAACTTTGCGCACCTGTCAAAGATCGATGACAATTCAATAATCCGAAAAAAAAAATGAAAACAATAAAAAAAATTTAACTAAAAAATAAATATAGTTTAAAAAAACTAAAAAACACGCTTTTAAAGCACATCAAACTAAAAAGATTTTTTAAACTATATTTATTTTAAATTTTTTTGTACCTCCCTCCCCGCCTGGTGAGATGTTGTGAGATTTTATTCAACCCCCTCCCCCAACCCCCAATCTCACGTGAGATTTTTCAAAACGTGGGATTATTATGTAAACGCGTAAGAAGCTATCTTTTTGAGCTCGGAGAACTCAAAATAACACAGAATTGGTACTATTGAGCTCGAAGAGCTCAAAAACAAAATAAGGGATATATTGAGCGTTTAGGTATGGAGTTAGCGGGAAGTTGCAGAGATGGCCTTTAGGGTCAACCGTTTTCCTAAAAAAAATTTTTTCAATCAGAAAAAAAATTGCGTGATATTTGCCGAGACCCCCCCTCTCTCCAACATAAGATTAAATGAGATTTTACTCGACCCCCTCCCCCCCTTAAACACCTCACAACACCTTGCTCATTATCTAAGTTTAAAAAAATTAATTACCAAAGCAAATCACGAATACGCTAAAGCGGGTTAAAGTTTGTTTTAGTTCAGCAAATTATAGTATATGTATTTGTGGATGTATTTACTATTCAGATTCAATGACATTATAAAGATTTAAAAAAAATTACCTGTGTTCTAGCAAATTTATTAAGAAAAGCTGAAGTTCTTGGTCTGGAGCGTAGGAAGCTGTTGATTTGGAAGGCGACCACGGGTCGAGGGTAGAGTCGCAGTGTTCGTGTGTGTTCCATAAAGTTCGCCAACACATTCTGGGAGTTGAAAAACCGGACCTGGAAGCAAATTAAGCAATTCTTGAAGTTATACTTCTTTTGGCGCGTTAGGGAAAAAAAAGAGTATTTTTTTTTCTACAAACGTAATAAGGCGAAATATAAAATTTTTGAAAAGATTTTTATGTTGTTACGCCAAAGAAGTACACTTCTAGCGCGTGTTTATAAGTACACACACGCTTTTTTATAAATATTATGGTGCGCAAAATATAAACGTACTTTAAAAATCTATCGATTTTTTTAATGTAAAAAGATGGGAACTGGCAAGAGACTCACGTGATGTTAAGTGATACCGCCTATGGATACTCACATTGCCAGGCCTCAAGAAATCATACTTTATTTTTTAATAAAATCTTACTTTTGTTAGTTACCAAAAAACCACTGAGAGATTCCTTAAATATTCAAAAGTAAATAAAGGAAACAAGATTGGACAAATAGAAGAATATAATTAACAGTTAAGTTTAAAATCTGGATATCTTAAATAAAAAAACGTTACCTGTGGAGGAACGCGTTCATCTTGTATTATCTATAGTCTCACAAAAGTATAGAATTGCACTCCACACAACGTACGATTATTCTATATTTTAAAGCTACATTTAAATAATGTTTAAAAGTAGATCTGTGAAGATATTAGGTCCTTACATATGAAATTGGCGTATTTCGTACTGGCCACATTAATCACGATGTACTCCTCTTTGGTAAGGAATTCCAAATTCAAATTTGTACAGCTATTTACTCATGTATTTGTGCTTCGATGACCGTCATTCATTTGTTTTTTTCTTCTGTTTTTTCTCTGTTTGCGTCACTCATTTTACAAAATGGAAAACTTAAAGTATCGCATTATTTACGAGTACGAGTTCCGCTGTGGCACTAGTGCTGCGGAAACGACTCGAAGGGTGAATGATGTGTATGGCGGTCATGTTGCAAAAGAAAACACAGTTCGTTTTTGGTTCCAACGTTTTCGTTCTGGAAATTTCGACCTGCAGAACAAGCCCCGTGGACGGCCTGAGACCCAAGTTGATAATGAAGTATTGAAGGCTATTGTGGAAGCGCATCCATCGCAAACCACGCCCGAGTTAGCTGCAGGCTGCGGTGTTAGTGATATAACTGTTTTAATTCACTTGAAGCAAATTGGGAAGATTAAAAAGCTTGAAAGATGGGTGCCTCACGAATTGACTGAAGCAAACCGGCAAACGCGCGTCGACTGCTGCGTTACATTACTGAACCGGCACAATAATGAAGGTATTTTAAACCGAATCATTACCTGTGATGAAAAATGGATTCTTTACGATAATCGAAAGCGCTCAGCGCAATGGTTGGATCCTGGCCAGCCAGCCAAATCCTGCCCCAAGCGAAAATTAACCCCAAAAAAGTTACTTGTGAGCGTTTGGTGGACTAGTGCCGGTATTGTTCATTGCAGTTTTGTCAAATCTGGCCAGACTATTACGGCTGATGTCAATTGTCAGCAAACCATGATGGAAAAGCTAGCGGCTAAACAACCTAGGCTGGTCAATCGCTCCACGCCACTGCTACTTCACGACAACGCTAGACCACACACTGCACAACAGACGGCTACCAAATAAGAAGAGCTTCAATTGGAATGTCTTAGACATCCTCCGTACTCCCCGGACCTTGCTCCAACAGATTACTTACCATGGGAAAAAATTTAACTCTGATGGGGCAGTCCAAATCGCCTTCACAGATTTTATTGATTCCCGTCCGACTGGTTTTTTTAGAAAAGGGATCAATGAACTACCTATGAGATGGCAAAAGTGCATAGAAAACAATGGTTCATACTTTGATTAATTAAATATATTATATTTAAAAATATTCGACTTTTTGTTCCTCCCATACAAAACGTCAATTTCATATATAAGGACCTAATATAAGTGCCAAATCATCAAAGTGCTTGAAACACTTCACAATCGTAAAAACGTTAAAATAATATCATTGCGATTCTCTTAACATTTATATTTGGTCATGCCTACTTTTTGCACAGAAATAATAATAAACATAAAAAGGTACAACGGGCCACCTTATCACTACTAAGTGATCTTTTCCAGACTACCCTACGACAAAGAAAACAGTCAAAAAGAAAAGATTAAGACGAAGTGCAAGAGTGAGAATCCTAATAATACAAAAAAATCTATGAAATCATAATATTAATAGTGGCAACTTATAACTTATAAACCTACCAAAACAGAGAGAAAGAACAATTGTGAAGATAAAAACATGATTATAAAAATGATGCTAGCGACATCAAGTTACACAGAGGAATAGTACTCATGAAGTGGAATAAATAGAAGAGTTTTGGGGGTTTTAGTGTATAAACGTATTCCGTCACTGTGAAATATTATTTTTTCAGAGACCTTTTTAGCTAGATGACCAAAAACTACAAACACGGTGAGCATTTCCAATATTTCCCGCGAAAAACACTCTCTACGTAGTTAGTTGACGTGACCTTCACCCTTATTGCGTCACGCCAGAGCCAGTCTCGCCCACGCAAACATCTTTGTGTCGCTTTTAGATACTTTCTTAGTTTAAGGTCATGATTTTACAGGAAATAGTCAAGAATATTTCTATCAATATCCTCACACAGTATGGGGAAATCCACATGCAATTATCCAAAACAATAGAAATCAGTTGACCCAGCAAAATTTCTTTTGCTATATAAATGTTATTGCAGTACTAATAATAATAACACTTTATTTACATGACAATAGGACAAAACAGGAGAAAAATAAAATTAATAAATGACAAAGGGGGCGGTCTTACTGCTATAAGCAGTCTCTTCCAGTCACTACTACTGTCGGTGTTGGTGGTGACAGGTTGAAAAAGTATAATGTAATATGTATTTTTATCTGTTTTCCAAAAAAGTTATGTATAAACAATTGTTTTTGATCTATTATCAGAACTAACTAAGAGATAAAAAATCTGTGAAGTTGTTTACAAGCATTGTGTTATAGTGCTTTTCATGAAAGAAGTCCCGCGGATATTTTTGGAACTAAATTTGACAGGTCGGCAATGTTGTCATTCGTCGATGTTATCAAGTTCGTTTGTTGTGGTAGATTTTTGTGAATTTTTAACTATCTTAGTGCATTTTAAATATTGATTACAATGCCAAAAGTTGTAAAAAGTTCGGCTCGAGAATTGATATTAAAGGTGAAAGAGTTCTGTGAAGCGGAACAAAAGAATAAAGGTGTTTTAATACCACTAAACAATGTTCGGAAGAGAGTTGCCGCCATAACAGGTACTTTTTAGAGTTGCCATTTAATAATTTTTTGCTGTATTGATGGGAGTTTTATGATAATATAAATTCGTTTTTACGACAAAATTGAACAAATACATAACGTGATGAAACTAGGTAACTGAAATTAAAACATATATTACATAAGCATTATAAACTTAAAGTTACTATTATTTTTAATTGTTCATAATTTAATTGCAGGTGTGTCAGAGAAAACTGTATCAAGAATTACAAACGAAGGTGTAACAGCGGCGTGTACTTCAAAAAAAATTGTAACCCCGGGGAAGAGTCGCCCGCATCCGAAAAAGTTCGACTTAGACGGGTTCGATTTGTGCGCTATCCGGCAAAAAATTTACAGTTTTTACGTCGTACATAACATTGGTTAAATTACGGGCAGCTCTGCGAGAGGACATCAATTATCAGGGAAGCATCACAACATTGCACAGGATATTAAATAGAATTGGTTTCAAGTACAAGCGATGTCAATCCAGACGAAAACTACTTATGGAACGCCACGACATTACCGCATGGCGTGCAAGATATTTGAATAAAATACGAATAAATCGCACTGTGGAAAAACGACCAGTTGTATACTTAGATGAGACCTATATACACAATACTTATCATACAAAACGTTGTTGGCAGAGTGAGGAGGAGCCAGGAATGTTCGTCTCAGAATCATCAGGGAGTCGCTGGATAATCGCTCATGCGGGAACAAAAGATGGATTCATAAATGGTGCATTATTAATGTTCAAATCCCAATCAAAGTCCTCAGATTACCACGATGACATGAACTCAGCAAATTTCTTAAAATGGGTGACGGAAAAACTAATACCTAATCTACCTGAAAGGTCGCTTGTGGTAATGGATAACGCTCCTTACCATTGCACTCAATTAAACAAAGCCCCTTCTATGTCAAATATAAAAAGTAGTATGCAAGAGTGGCTCCGGCAAAAGGGTATATATTTTGAAGACACCTGGACAAAAGTTGTGCTGTATGAGCTAATCAAACAAAATAAAGGTCCACCGATATTTGCAGTGGATGAATTATTAACAGCTCACGGACACGAAGTATTAAGGTTGCCGCCTTACCATTGTGACCTCAACCCGATTGAGAATATCTGGAGCCTTGTAAAAAGAAAGGTGGCGGATAAGAACGTGGCACAAGATCCAAAAGAAATATTAAAATTAACTAAAAAGGCCTTTGAGTCTATTACGGCTGAAGATTGGACAGCTCAGTGCTCGCATGTCGAACATTTAGAGGAGGAATATTTAAAAAATGACGGCCTTATGGATGAAGTGATGGACCGAATAATTATATCAACTGCTAGTGATACTGAAACAGAATCTGATTCTGTTTCAATACACTCTTCGGACAGTGATGTCCCTATGGCCGTTGATCACAATTATGCAATAAAACTCTGAATAAACAATTGTATTGCTTTTCTTTACCCTATTTTCTTATCTTTTCCCTGTAAGTAGGTAGAACACCGCAATATAAGTAAATAAAAATATACTTTTTACATAACAGATATATTGTTTCATCGAAGTACGCAGAAAATAGTATTATTTGATAAATTACATCTGCTAAATGTAAATAAAATAGGTAAATTTTTTACTCATAAATGGCAACATTACGTCATGCGATTGCAGCGCCGCGTCTGGGGGACTTCTTTCGTGAAAAGGACTATACCATAATTTTATAAATATAGAACCTTGACCGTTTCAAACTCATTTCTTTTTTTAAATATGGAAAGTTGCCGCGACGCTGTGGTTCATTATAGTGTTGAAATGATTGGCATGTCGCAAAATAAAAATCCTTGCCCGACTTAGCTATATTTTCTAATTACGAATATTCAAAATATCATCGCTAAGTTCTCTATAAAGACCAAACAAAATTCAGTTTGGAAAACGTTTAAATATGGAATGTTTTCTTGTTCTGCTGAGACGCTGTTCTTTTTATAGTGTTAAAATGAATGGCATGTTGGAAAAAAAATGAGTCCGAGTCAATTGTTATCTATATTTTCAAATTAAGAATATTAAAAATATTATTAAGTTAAATAAACAAAATCCAGTTTAAACAACTTTTATTTTTAGTCGAATTATTTTTTGATACGTACGAACAGTAATTCATATACGAACCATAGCAACTCTGGTAGCTACATCAACGGAGTCCACATCATTTCCATATATGAGTGGGTTGAAAGGCTGCTGTGGAGAGTGTGGTTGCGATTGTGGGGTATGGGCGGATGCAAAAGAATGTCTCTGGGAATGCGTGGCACTCCCCACGGACACACGCCGGCTTTCCGGTGTGCTGTGAGAGCCGTGTGTGTTGTCTTTGAATGACGGTGTGTGGACTCTGAAAATAAAGAAATTATTCTTTTTATAAATCTCTTTGAATCTGTAAGATGTACATGCATGGTGAATATCATGAAAGTGGATGAAGTGAGAGGTATTTCAGAACCGTAGCAAGTGGAGATCCGAGGCGTCTGCCTACCCCTTCGGGGAAAAGGTGTGATAATAAAAAAAACAATTTGCTCCAGCAGTCTGTCCCTTGCTGACACATGTTAAAAATTGATAAGAGTCTGATAAAATGTGTCTTTATGTTGGTGCAGGGATTTCAGATATTTCAGTATCTGTATCTCTTCTAATAAATAATATATTTAATTTTACAGTGTTTTCGTAAACAATAGACAATATTATGTGCTTGGACAAAAAGTGTTCTGTCTAATTTCTATTATATACACATATATATATATATATATGTATATCCGTTTCGAGGATATTGCCAGACTTAGGGTGAGATCTATAGTGCGCACTTGGACTTTGCTCAGACTTACCTTACGAAAAACTTTGCTTAGTGTACACTAAGGTTAAACTATGATTTCGTATTTATAGACATTTTAACGGTGAGATTAAGCTAAGCCCAAGCTAAGACAGAAAATGTCAAAATACAAATTGATGTTTCATTTCATGCAATACTTTGTTTATTATCCTTTAAAAAAGTTAACGATAACAAATATTTAAAAATCTAAAACGGTACACATATATCTTCAATTTATTGTTATTTATGTATTCATTTATTTTATTATTGCAATAACTAGAAATTCACGAGTAACCTTTAGAAAATGTATTAATTATTTAAAGATGACAATAATTTTATTACGTAGAACGGATCGCAATGTTTTGACAACAGCAACAGAGCACTTGTATCAACTATCAATAATTGAAAATTTTAAACCACTTACAAGACAATTTATTAAATTGATCTTTCTTCAAAACAACGACTGGCTTTGTGACTTGGACCTGGACCAATCTGGATCGTATACCTACTTAAGACCTACGCATTCCCGAAACACTGTGACGTTTTGTGATTTGGCTTTGTTACATGGACCGCTTGGAAATATCAATATCGAAAGTGACATGATGGAGAGAGAGAGTTCTATCTTCAATAGAAAACATTGAAAGGGTAGGAACTGCAGCCGATATGAATCCACGAATGCCTAAAGTGTTGTATATGTTCGGAACTAATAAAAACAAAATCCTTCCATCCTGTACGGTGAGAATGAATTCAAAAGAAGGAACCGTATTTTGAAACACACGGTATTAAATGTGATCCTGACGCTGATCATTACAAACTTGCAACCTTATAACAACAGAGGATCGCCAAACCTACCGCAATTGCAAATACTTATTGCATTAAGGCATAAAAATGCAACTGGATGTTTTCAGGTAATATTGTGTTCATAAATATGTATGGTTTTTCAATTTGATATATTATACCTCTTCTCAAATGATTTTAAATAGTACATATGTTGAAGACTTTTGTCTTCTGACTTTCAAACATAACATATATGTGACTAATAATACTTTATTGACATTACAGATGGTGTGTGGTGATCTGAACAGCATAAGCCAATCTACAGTCTGTTTAATTATAAATAAAGTCTCTGCAGAGTTGAGTAAATTACTTCCTAGATTTGTAAATTTTCCAAGAAATATGAACACAGCCAAAACGAAGTTTGAAGAATTAGGAAGATCTAATACTCCCCATGGCCTAAACAGTATAATCGGAGCTATTGACTGCACCCATATAAAAATTAATAGACCCAAAGGTATCGCTCACTCTGAAGCATACAGAAATAAAAAAGGGTATTTTTCTGTAAATGTGCAAGCAATAATAGGGCCTGATATGGAAATATTTGCTATAGTGACTAGGTGGCCTGGCAGTTCACACGACAGCAGGATATTTAGAAAATGCCTGTTTTAGTAGGTGACAACGGTTATCCAGCACTTAACTTCATGTTAACAACACTTTTAAATCAAATGACAAGAGCTGACAATATTTATAATTATTCTCAAATAAGAACTAGGCATATTTTTTAAAGGTTTTTCGGAGTGTGAAAAAGGAAATTTCCATGTTTACAGCTAGGACTACAGTCTAAATTGACAAATACTAGTTATATATAATTATAGCTTGTGCTGTATTGCATAATATAGGTATACAGAGAGGCGATGCTTATGATGATGGTGATCTTGCTGACAGCAGAAGTTGAGCGCACTATAGATCTCACCCTTAGGGTGAGATCTATAGTGCGCACTTAGACTTTGCTCTGACTTAACTATCGAGCTAAGACACAGTCGGTATTTATAGAGCAAACTGCGAATCTCTCCCTAGTGTTGGCTTAGCTTAATCTCAAGTCCACGAAATCGACGACTTACCAAAAACTTTGACTATAAGCCTAACAAAAATAATGGCCCAAAATTTGCTTTACCATCATATCTTTTACTGGACTTTTTATTTTTGTCGGTTTTTAATGAACGGTGTTGCCATTTTGTATCGGAGTTCCATAGACTTTGGGAAAAATAGAATTTGAATTCAAAGAAATTATAAATGATCTTGATAAATACCTATGAAATGCATGAAATAAAATAATTACACATTATTATGGTATTTATTGTTGTTTATTTATATTATTTATGTAATTGTTCAAACCCCATTTTTGAGAAATCTTAAAAATAACTGGTGTGATTTTGTATGTCACCTGGCAGCCCTTATTTTCGTTTCCCTGAATCTTCTACCATTTATTACCTGACTACCCTAAAAAATTTGAGATAGGAGTGGAACATATGAAATTAAAAAATCTGTTAGAAATAGAATTTCTTCAACAAAAATATAAATTAGTATTAGAAATATGTATTACACTTAAAAAAAGAATCAGAAAATAAATGATTAAAATGAAACAAGTTTTGTTTTGATATTCTTTATTACAAACAAATTACCTAGTTAAATTGTGCAATCACAGATTGCCGGAATGCTAGACCTGTAGGAATTCTTTCATTGTTTCTGTGTTACTCAACTTCTGCTGTCAGCAAGATCACCATCATCATAAGCATCGCCTCTCTGTATACCTATATTATGCAATACAGCACAAGCTATAATTATATATAACTAGTATTTGTCAATTTTGACTGTAGTCCTAGCTGTAAACATGGAAATTTCCTTTTTCACACTCCGAAAAACCTTTAAAAAATATGCCTAGTTCTTATTTGAGAATAATTATAAATATTGTCAGCTCTTGTCATTGGATTTAAAAGTGTTGTTAACATGAAGTTAAGTGCTGGATAACCGCTGTCACCTACTAAAACAGGCATTTTCTAAATATCCTGCTGTCGTGTGAACTGCCAGGCCACCTAGTCACTATAGCAAATATTTCCATATCAGGCCCTATTATTGCTTGCACATTTACAGAAAAATACCCTTTTTTATTTCTGTATGCTTCAGAGTGAGCGATACCTTTGGGTCTATTAATTTTTATATGGGTGCAGTCAATAGCTCCGATTATACTGTTTAGGCCATGGTGAGTATTAGATCTTCCTAATTCTTCAAACTTCGTTTTGGCTGTGTTCATATTTCTTGGAAAATTTACAAATCTAGGAAGAAATTTACTCAACTCTGCAGAGACTTTATTTATAATTAAACAGACTGTAGATTGGCTTATGCTGTTCAGATCACCACACACCATCTGTAACGTCAATAAAGTATTATTAGTCACATATATGTTATGTTTCTGAAAGTCAGAAGACAAAAGTCTTCAACATATGTACTATTTAAAATCATTTGAGAAGAGGTATAATATATCAAATTGAAAAACCATACATATTTATGAACACAATATTACCTGAAAACATCCAGTTTCATTTTTATGCCTTAATGCAATAAGTTTTTGCAATTGCGGTAGGTTTGGCGATCCTCTGTTGTTATAAGGTTGCAAGTTTGTAATGATCAGCGTCAGGATCACATTTAATACCGTGTGTTTCAAAATACGGTTCCTTCTTTTGAATTCATTCTCACCGTACAGGATGGAAGGATTTTGGTTTTATTAGTTCCGAACATATACAACACTTTAGGCATTCGTGGATTCATATCGGCTGCAGTTCCTACCCTTTCAATGTTTTCTATTGAAGATAGAACTCTCTCTCTCCATCATGTCACTTTCGATATTGATATTTCCAAGCGGTCCATGTAACAAAGCCAAATCACAAAACGTCACAGTGCTTCGGGAATGCGTAGGTCTTAAGTAGGTATACGATCCAGATTGGTCCAGGTCCAAGTCACAAAGCCAGTCGTTGTTTTGAAGAAAGATCAATTTAATATTTATAAGCTCATACAAACAGAAACAGAAAAGAGAAAAAGTGGTTTAAAATTTTCAATTGTTGATAGTTGATACATCATACAAGTGCTCTGTTGCTGTTGTCAAAACATTGCGATCCGTTCTACGTAATAAAATTATTGTCATCTTTAAATAATTAATACATTTTCTAAAGGTTACTCGTAAATTTCTAGTTATTGCAATAATAAAATAAATGAATACATAAATAACAATAAATTGAAGATATATGTGTACCGTTTTAGATGTTTAAATATTTGTTATTGTTTACTTTTTTAAAGGATAATAAACAAAGTATTGCATGAAATGAAACATCAATTTGTATTTTGACATTTTCTGTCTTAGCTTGGGCTTAGCTTAATCTCACCGTTAAAATGTCTATAAATACGAAATCATAGTTTAACCTTAGTGTACACTAAGCAAAGTTTTTCGTAAGGTAAGTCTGAGCAAAGTCCAAGTGCGCACTATAGATCTCACCCTAAGGCTCGATGGGCTGTAGCACCTGTAAGTTGATTTTTCTACCGTACACTTTTAAGTTTATATAAAGTAATATGCAATCAAAAACATAGCCTGCAAAAAAAAACAAGTCTCGCAACGCAGTTCTCCTACCGTAAAAAGTTGTGAGAACCATCTCATCTTCATCATCATCAATACCAGGTCGGTTAATATATTCAGTCCCAAATTGAGAGACCTTCTGCCATAAGTTAATACTTAATCAGTTAACCTAACATCATCGGACGTCAAGGCAAGATACAAAATACCATCCGTATCACCTCGACGTCCGTCGTTCCACAACTGAGCGTTCTTTGCCGCGTACCACCACTATGTGGAACCAGCTGCCCACTGAAGTATTACAGAACCAATTTGACTTAGGGTCCTTCAAAAAAAGAGCGTACCATGACTTAAAAGGCCTGCAACGCACTTGCGAGCCTCCTGGCAAGTGTCCATGGGTGGCGGTATCACTTAGCATCAGGTGAGCGTCCTGCTCGTTTGCCTCCGGTTACATAAAAAAAAACAACATATAATGACCATATTATCAATATTAAATACATTGACTTGTCTATTTAAATTACGTATTTAAACTTACTTGAGCGTTGCACCACCAACACTATCTCGTCTAGATGGCATTATTGGAGCAGTAGCCTGTTCTGCTGATGAGCTCGTAAGACTGCTTAAAGCCTAGGAATTATAATAGTTATAAGTATAATAAACGTCGAATATCAGAGTTTTTATAAACAATTAACGCTTCGTTTTTTGTACTCGTGTCTGTAAACAATTCTGATTCGAAGTCGAGACTGAGCGATGTCTTCCATCTGTCAAAAAGTATTGGATTTTGACACACGAGCTAAGTCCCGAGTTTGAGTCTTAACCATGGCCCCAGCGTCTGCTATTTCAGTCCTAAATGGCTAACTTCTAGACTTATTTAAAATAGGTACTTGTTAAATAGCTATTGAATTTATAAAAATCATAAAATAAGTCAAATGCCAATATTTTTGTTTTTAACATCTTTTGGTAAGGATACTTGTGTATTTTGTCTGTTTAGTTATTATTTTAATATTTGAACAAGTGAAAATACACGCAATTAAAAAAAGAAAAAGTTATTGTCATAGAAAAATTTGATTGGTCAAATGTCACCCAGATCATAATTGATACGCAATTATCACTATGACAATTGACCTGCTCAATCTTACGCTTATTATACGAACAAAAGGAAAATGCCCATTCTTTAACCGTCGTTAATAACGAATCATTGATTTTGTTGATATTAAATGTTACCAGACTGTATAGTAGACTTGGGGCCGTGTAATTATTGCGCACTCGTCCAGTTTACGAACACGAGGGATAACGTCATCGCTATTGTATTTAAAATTCAGACTGAAAATAGCTCAAACAAGCTCATAAAGCCTACTTTAAAACTTCAGTCTTGCATACTAAGCGCAAACATTGTATGCTATATATTAAAAATTATATAAGTATTTATACGTATGATATTAATAAACGAAATACAGTTTTCGGATATAACATGACAAATCGAAAAGTATATAAAACTAAATGGACTGGAACTGGAATATTGTTCAAATGGAGTTCGTCTTCGAACTGTCAGATTGACATTATCGTCTTGACGTTGGCGAATAGGCGCTAATTTCGTAATTCATTTGTCAACGATATTAAATAATGGCGCACTAAGTAGATTCTTAATTAAATCAGTATTTTATAAATATTTTATACTCACGAGTTGTGGCATTTTTTTGGTCTAAAAACTTTAGCCTGGCCACAAAGGGAATAAAAAAAAAACTACAATTTACGCTGTAATCTGTCACGTAAACAGTTTGCATAAAAACTCTATTTCGTTTAAAATAAAAATATACCTAAATTAGAATACCGCAGTATCATAATCTGTAACCTAGCATTCTATGAAAAACATTAGGTGTTTAAATCCCTTGTCCCCAGTGGGGCATGGGACAAACTAAGCACAATCTTGTAGTTTATATAGCTATGTATGCTACTCTACTTACCTACGTTATAAAAGTAGGACTACATATTAAACTTAATAAAATATACTTTACCGCGTTTTATTATATTTATTTACATGCTCATGTATTATTTTATACTGAAATCGATGTCTTTTAGTCTTCAAACGAAATTTGGGCTTGGTCAAAGTTGGTTAGACAGAAGTTAGAAGATTAGTCGGAAGTCGCGTTATTGACCCAAAATTATACATTAGAACTGATGTCTCAAACTAGGATTTACGTGGTACAACATTTAATATTGGGCTAATACGGAGTACCTACATTTAATTGTGTAATACATTGCCAGTTTTCGAAATTTTATAATTCTTTTAAATTTGTCGGTCGTTTAAGGTATCAATCAAGCTATAATGCATATAATGTTCACTTTGTACAAGAAAGTCTCAAAAGACATCAATTTCAGTTTAGTTTTAGTTGATTTTTGTTATATTAACTGGCATACAATGCAAGTGTATACTAGGTAAAGTGAGTGTGCATGTAAAAATAGAGATATTTACTCCGGTTCCAGCTGTCCCCATGAGTTGCATACCCTAGTGCGATAGGAAAGTGTTTGGTTAGTGAGTCAAGAAAGAGAATGAAAGAAAAGATACCTCAAGTTATTTTTCTTACCGACTATTAGTTCTGTGTTAATTTAAATTCAAAAATAGAATAATCTTTTATTTTTTATAACTATGACACATGTGTTTCGTATTTGAAAATGACAGGTCTCTTTAGAGTTTAGACGCTGTAATCAGCGTCTTTGTCAATGATTTTTGGATACGTCAATGACGCCTCTGAGAAACTTATACATCAATACCATTAATTCGAAAGATATTCCAAATTTAAATTAGGAAAATAGGTCAACTGTCACTGTCAATTTAGATGAATTTTATATTTTCAGTCTAATTCAAAAATAGAACGTTTACACTGAGAAGACATGTTAACAATTTATAATCACGAACATTTTTATTAATTTAGCTTCTAATTAAAAGATTTACACAGATTAATATGAGCACTGCATATAGAAAATTTTAAAGTTCTTTGACCTTATAACACGCTAATATGTCTGATTTTAGACGGTAATTTATTAAATAATTGAATATCCTTATACATAGACATCTACAAATAATTAGTGCGTGGCTTCGGCAAATAGGATGCCCAGTAAAATATTATTAATTATTGAATAAGAAAAATACTTGAGGAAAAGAGGTTATAAATGCTTTATACATAAACACAGCATACCGAGGATACAGTGTTGAATTGTTGGAAATAGAGTGACAGAGACAATGATTACATACAAAAGAGTTCTACATAAAAAAGTAGTATAAAGTTTTGATTGAAATAACGTTAGTTATAACGATGTTAAATGTGACCCAAAGACTTATTCTACTTCTTAGTTTTAATGTATGTCAAATTTTTCAAGATTGACAATTGACAATTGACCGGAACTTGACATTAGGATGTCATTGCAACTGTATTAGCTTAAACTATGGTTATTGATATGGGCTGATTATAAAGTCATACCTGTTTCAAATGGCTTTTTAGAACTGAGCTTTCTGGTTCCGGTAGAGGTGGCAATTCTTGATCAGCCCCCGTGGGACTGGTGAGTTTTGTCGCGTCCAAATCCACGAGCCAGATATCGTCAGGTAATCTTGTTAAAGGAAATTTATATTAGGATCATTATCAAATTAGATTTTAGATTGCTATCGTTCCGTGAAAGCTGCATTAAAATCAAGTAAGTTTTGGACTGTGGTAAAAATACAGATATACAAAAATCTTTGGAATTCTGTTAGTCTTATTTATTGTCGTTTGTATCTTCTCTATATGGACAGTGTTGGCTTGGAGGTCGTAGGTTCGATCCCCGGCTGTGCACCAAAGGACTTTCATCTATGTGCGTATTTAAAATTCGATCAAACGGTGAAGGAACACATCGTAAGGAAACCGGCTTGCTTTAGACCCAAAACGTCAACGGCTGATCGATCACCTACTTGCTTATTAGATTGATAAATAATCATAAAACAGATACAGAAATCTTAGGCCCAGACCTAAAAAGGTTGTAGCGCGTGATTTATTTTATATTTTTTCTTTTCTATTTATGTAACTTAGTGTCCAGTCTTGATACTATCGAACATCTTAATATATTTTAATACTTACTTAAAATTCTTTTTATAAGTGAGAAATGTCGCTGGTATTCCGATCAAAAAGGGCGTAGGCGCCAATAGCAACTGTTCCGCGAAGCTCATACAACTCGGTAACAATGGTATTGCAGGGAACATATATTCAAGTGGGTACAACATAGAGACTAACGCCATCACAGACATTGATAAAGCGTTGTAGTCACGCGACTGAACAACCACTTTGTTCTCCAGGATTATCAGCGTGAGGACCTTCAAGCAGGTGTCCACACCTAGAGATAAACATTTTAAAAGTTATTCGTTTATTTTTATAACTGATATATATCTATACATTGGTTCAGATTAAATTAAACATATTATTTAATATTTTAACCAAATATCTTATATATAAAATTCTCGTGTCACAATGTTCGTTCCCATACTCCTTCGAAACGGCTCGACCGATTCTTCTGAAATTTTTTTAATGTACATTCAGTAAGTTTAAGAATCGGCTACTATCTATCTTTCAACCCCCTACATGTACAGAGTGGTCCACCCCTAAATTTTTATTTTAAGATAAAAAAAATGTTTTTATTTTTTTATGATACAACATACAACCCTTAATTTTCACCTCTCTACGATCAACCACTATTTTTTATTTGTTAATTTAAATCTTATGATTTGAACTCTGATGTTTATATAGAGAAAAATTCACAGTTAAACCTAAAAAGTTTTCATTCCGGGAAACTGAACATTCACTGGGGTAGCCTAGCAAAATGTTTCATGTTGGTATGTACTAAAAAGGTAGGCTAAGTAAAATCACATTAAGGAGAAACGAAGTTCGCGGGGGTTATGGTCCGCAATCTAATAATTACTTTGCTTGCTACTTACATAAAATTTTAATTTCTAGTACGTACCCAGTAATTCCAACGGCAAATGCAAAGGAAAGTCCACAAGGGTGAATCTGGTGTGATCGGGCAGGGCAAATACTAGCGGCGCATGCGCAGTCGGCGATAAAACCTCTAGCTCCACTCTTGTTTTTCCCGGAACTGGTACCGGTGCGGAGAGAAGACGCAAAATCCACGTCTCTATCTCTTTTACATCGTGTAACACTATTGTAGGTGTATTGTCGTACGCTTGGCCCGTTAATACTGACCATACTGTATCTCTGAAAGAATTAAATTCTAATTGTGATGTTCAATTCTTTAGGCTTTTACCGGCCGCGGAAGCAAAATTGCTGGGGCGGCCGCCCAGTAGGCGGAAAACTGACTTCGATTTTGTTCCCTTTAGAGTAGAGACTCTTGGGCCGTGGGGTTCAAGTGCACAGGCGCTTATTAAAGATTTAAGTTGGCGCCTGGTAGATAGTACCGATGACCCCAGAGCTGGTGTTTTCCTCGCTGAACGAATAAGCGAGGAAATACTGCCAGCGTAAAAAGTACACTGCCACAGGGACCAAACACTATAAATTTGTTTTAATTTTTTTTTATAAATTATTTGTAGGTTAAGAAAATTGTAATCCCGTATTTTTAGGTTTTAATAAACGGTTTAATATAACAACAAACAACCATACATACACTCACGAACATACCATCACGTTCACACAACGCAGCCGAATAAGGAATTACTTAGTTAAATGTATTGATTTTTTTTCCTTTCGTTCAAACCAATACGTATGTGATATGAACCATGTGTTATTTCTAAAATAAAAGACGGGCATTATAAAAAAATTCCCAATTAATTAGCGTTGGAGACAAAGATCAAGTTTCTAAATGAAATTTCTCATTCATTTGGGTTGCGAACTTTTTATAATCTTAATATAAATATTTATTATCGCCATAACTTTATATGAATGGAGTACTAGACACAGTGCTACGTGCGTGTTGTTGAAAGCATAAAGATACATTGTACGAATACAGTTCGTGTCTAAGTGCATTGTAAAATTCTACGCTTGAGCTGTTAACATGGCACTATCGTATTGAGGAAAGTACCGTACAATTCGTGTTTATGTTCCATACATGGTGTTCTATAAACAGCGATAATGCGATACATTCTCCTTGGAAAGAAAAAGAATAAATACTGGCATAGATATCTTTAAAAAGAATAGTAGCTTCCATAATAATAGTACCTACTCGTAATAAAGACAAAATTAGCGCACCAACCACACGGCTGCATAAAATGAGTAATTCTTTCGAAGGCAAGATAAAAATGTTGCAAGATACAAGGCAAAGTGAGATACTGGTGTTGTCAATAAATAAATTTAAATCCTACATTATTGTCAGTTCTTCTCTTCTGTTCTACGCCCTTGATTTGAGAACTGGCAGTAAATGTAAAATTAGAAGCAATATATATATTTTTTTTTGACAATTATAAGTGTACATTGTGTTACCTATATGAATAAATGATTTTGACTTGACATGACTATGTAGAAAGTGAGCCAGTGCCCAGAATTTCACAAACATGTTTGAATTTATTACATGACCGATTTTGGCTCGATTCATAGACAAAACGTGGCTTCACGATTATGATCCGGAATCGAAAAAACAATCTGATGTCTCGGACGGCTGTCTCCAACTCCGAGGAACTTTAAGGCAATCCTATCCGCGGAAAAGATCATAGGCTGTTTATACCGACAGCCAAAGGTTAGTAATGATCTTTATAATGAAGCTACTATTACGTGGACTTTGTACGCAGGACAATTAACAGTTGCGCAATTAACAGGACAGTTAACAGGAAATACGCAAGATAGCAGCGTGTCAAACTCTATGGCAGTCATCAAAACTCTACGGCTACCATTTATTTATTTTTTATACATTCTAAAACAATGTGCATGCCTAAAAATACAAGAAAAAATGACATCACAAGCTTAACACACATACACATCAATTACATTGAAACATAAGAAAGGAAAGAATTAAACAAACAACCACAAAATAAAAATTAAATAAAAAACAAAAATTTAAGAAGCTTGCTTCAAATGGATAACGAACATATTCGTAACCGGACCTAGGAACATTATTTTTTCAAAAATTACGTATCCAGGAAAAAAAAAAAAAAAAAACAAAAACATCTCTAATTAGAACATAAGAAAGGAAAGAATTAAAAAAAACCAAAAAAAAAAAAGCGGTACTATTTTTATTTTTTAAGGTATCAGGGAACCTTTGACTACTGCGAAAAATACAACAGCCAATATCACCTTACCTAAATATTTGTCTGGACGCACCAACGCGCCGTGGACTGGAAGACTCGTTGCAGGCATCGATCAATTTCTTGAGGATGAAGAGGCACTCGCGGAACGTGGAAAAAAAGGGATGATGGGACAGGAGGCAGAGGGAGGTTAAGGAATGGTTGCGTATACGCTGAAACAAAAGACAGTTTTAGTTTTATGTAGAAAAGCCGACAATAATCTGTGCTATTCCGACCGCAGTTTATTTTGTGTTTACATTGCATTTTAGCAGTGTTGGCTTCAACGTGCGACTCTCATCCCTGAGGTCTTAGGTTCGATCCCCAGCTAGTCTATGTGCGCGTTGAACATTCGCTCGAACGCTGAAGGAAAACATCGTGAGGAAACCGGCTTGCCTTTGACCCAAAAATTCGACGGCGTGTGTAAGTCACAGGAGGCGGATCACCTACTTGTCTATTAGATTTACAAATGATCATGAAACAGATACAGAAATCTTAGGCCCAGATCTAAAACCACCACTGATTTATTTTAATTTTACACACACATTTCAAAACTATTTAACTGTCTAGGAACAACATTAAAATAAAATACCAGGTCGTCTTTTTAGCCTTTACCTTTATGATATTCAAAAAAAGAACTCCATTAGAAACCAAGCTTAAATAGCAATTTCGATTATACTATTATGTTTTCGAATCACGTAATTTTTGCGTCATGCCAAATCGCGTGTTGTCATATGGGACATCATTCAGGACTTTTAGAGGTTGACCTAGGTTATGTAAATGTTTAAACAAACAACGCTTTTGATTTTATGCGGTAAGATTTTATTGCTTAGAGAATAGATTTTGTTTATTTATTTCGTATTCCTACAGCTAACAAAAATTATATATCATAACAAACCGTAACAAATATAGCCAGAGATGGAACACATAATATTTAACAACAAAAAAGGTTCAAAAATTTACAAAAGGGTACAAACAAAAACTATTCAATACATTTAACTTAGTGATACCTAAGGAGGGAGCTTGTAGTTTATTGTTTATCAGAATGCCAAATCGTAAAATGACTGATTTGAGCGCGACCGCCGTAGTGAAAACCGCTATGTGAGTTCGAAAAGTGAGTAAAAGAATCGCAAGGCAGAACGTTGTAGTTCAATAAAAATCTTCTATAACCACTGGTCTGAACCGTCGTAAGAAGAAACAAAAGCAGATTAACATACCTGTCGTTTCCTAGTAGCTCTAGGGCTTGGGGTATGTTCCCCACCGCTTTCAGAATCTGGAGCTGGTGCGAAACGCGGTGCACTGCATTCTCTCTCCGAATCACTCGGCGCTAAATTGCTGCTCCTATAGTCACTGGAACAAGTTCTTGCCTTAGGTTTGATTTTAGAGGCGAGACCACTTCGGTCATATCCCTGTCTTTGTATGGCACAGATTCGGTAAATTTAGAGGGTTTCTTCTTTTTATAGAGCAATCTTCTCTCGAAGGTTGGCGATTATCATGGATACTTTAATTTTGTATGCCACGCTTCTGAACAATGACTTGGTGCTTAGACTAAACCATTGCTTAAAATTCTTCTTATAAAATATCAGTAAGATAAATTTTGCTGAAAATTATTCTAAAAGTATTAACTTTTTTGTAAATTTCTTACAACATAAATATTTGGAACAAAGCTATAACAATCGAATTAGCAGGCCTATTTACTGTGGTATTCTGATGAATATTATATATATTATAATAGGGATGTTATGGAGCTTCGTACGAACCAATAATCGGATATCCGAAAAAATATATATCCGTAACCTTAACCGTATCCGTTTCACAACTTTCGGATAGTTTCGGATAAGGGCAGAGTCCAAAAATCTAGATAAAACTACATGTTTTGACAGGGTCTTGTTCATGGTTTCATTTCTCACAAAAATATTAAAAAGAAACATTTAATAACTAAATTATATACTATTTGTGTTTATATTTTACTTCAAACTAATAACCGTAACCGAAACTATCCGAAACTAACGGATAATCCGAAATAATTACATATCCGTAACCGTATCCGAAATATCATATCCATAACATCTCTAATATTATAATAGAATTCGAACGAATATATACTTTAAAGTTAAATCAAACAACTTACAACAAAGTTTTAGTGTTATAGGAAATACGCTATAAAATTAAATTTTGATTATATTTTAATAATTCTTTTGGTTAAAGAGTACAAGTCAAATCAAAAAAGCAATCGTACCGAAATAATGTTGGTAATTATCCCAAATTGAGGAATGTGTTTATAGTAAATAATATGGTAGAAATAAATGATCACCTGGAAAACGCAGAGTCTGAACTTTTCTCCATTGACTTCCGCCAGGACTCCCGTCTCAGAAGACCACGATCTCGTGGTCCTGGGACGGGCGCCCGCTCCACAGCTCGGTAGAAATTCACACATATGCCGTAACGCGTTCTTCCTATAAGACAAGAACACTTTTCATACGGTTGATATTCTATTGTAATGAGGACAACGCCCGTAGAAGAGGAAGAGTCCAATGACAACAGCGATAACGATCCCGATTAGCCTGATAGCGCTGATGACGCAACCTTGGGGAAATAAAAACCAGTTGCGCTACAACCTTCAAAGTCAGGGCCTGAGATATCTGTATCCGTTCTCATTTATTTTTCTTAATAAACTAGTAAGTCAGTCTTCTGTGCCCACACTTTTTTTAAAGAATGCCGGTTTCCTCACGATGTTTTCCTTCCCCGTACGAGCGAGTGTTGAATGCGCAATTACCGAAAGATTATTGGTGCATAGCCGGGGATCGATACTACGACCTCAGGGATGAGAGTCGCACGCTGCGATCAACACTGTTCTGAAATCTTGCGATAGCGTGGTACAAACTTATTCTTGAAATCGGTATCGCTATCGGAAGTAGCAGAGTAATGGCTCTGGTAGTCATTCAACCCAACCATCTAGTTGTTCACTTTAGCCAAACACAGAAGTAAGAAAAACTAGTAAGTAAGTAAACTAAGTAAGTAATTATTTTAATCGAAACTATTGAGAATTTTCCTTCTTTCCTAGTGAGTTTTCTATTGCCAGCCACTCTTTACCCTCCTTATCATTGAAGTTACTAGTTATTAATACTTTTTAAAGTTACCTGAATCTTTATCAGTCAGCGTGAAGACGAAGGAAGTGGTATCTCTAGCCGACAAATGGGCCAACTGCCTTCGCTGAGCTACGGAAACACAACCTTCGGGTTGACAGAAGTACACCATGTCCAGCGGAAGTGGAAAGTCGTCGTGGTTTGTTAGCGGATAGCGACGTAACAGCTCTGGGGCCTGTGAAATTGTACTTGTAAGAATTCATCTTTATTTGCCTAACACTGTTAAAAATATAGTTTTTATATAACGATAAAAATTCCAGAGGCCAATGGTCCAATGGTCCAATCTCCAATTTTTTATTTGAATGTAGTACAGAACATCACGCAAAAGCACATATACAAAATCAATTCTATCCAACTATATGCAAAGTACAGTGAACGCAAAAGTGATACAAAAAAATTATAAACAACTAAATGTTACTGGAACCGTTAGACAAAAAAAAATCTATCTAATTCGTTCGTTCCCATACTCCTCCGAAACGCTCGAACGATTCTTATGAAATTTTTTATACATATTCTTTAAGTCTGAGAATCGGCTACTATCTATCTTTAAACCCCCAAAATTTTTATTTTTTAGATAATTGTTTTTGTTTTTTTTTTTACAAAATACAAAAATACATACAACCCTTAATTTTCACCCCTCTAGACCATCTAAGACCCCTACATCTGCGTCAATTTTTTTTTTTTTATTATAGTAGATAGTTATTTTTATTGAACTAAAAAAATATACATGGCAAAACGACGTTTGCTGGGTCAGATAGTTATTTTATATGTATAAATTAACATGTACTACTAATTGTATAAATTTTTAATTTGTTTCTTCGAATCGATAAATTAAGTTAGTTAGTTATTTTATCCAATAAGGTAATGGCCACCGCTACCAGCAAAATAGCGTAATTGAAGCTTTAGTCCCATATTTTTAAACAGCGTTTTATTACGTAAATATTCGACAGTCTGCAGAAAAAAATTAAAAAGTATTATTATTAGTGTCGATAGTTCGTTGAAAGCAAAGAAATAGTTTAAAATAGTTACTACTTTAAATACGTTAATGGAAATTATATAAAAGAAATTGCATAGCTTATCAATAATGTCAAGATCAGACTTCGCAATTCTATTGTTAGGAATTCTTACGCTACTACATTAATTCTTCACAAGCGATTTCTGTAGAAAATAGTATTTACTAGAAAACTATAGTACGAGGCTTAGGGTAAACAAATATAACGAGCTTTATTTATTAGAGAATTAAGGTTAAATTACTAAGCGACTTCAAAAAGAGGTTTACTAATCTTAATATATATATATTTATAAATTGCGCGTCACGTTGTTTGTCTACTTAACCGATTTCAATCAATATGCACACCGTGTGCAGTTTGATCTAACTTAAAAGATAGAATAGCTTACATATATATATAATTCTACTGTACGAGTGTATGTCGCTGAACTCCTCTTAAACGGGAATGATTTGTTTTGTATGCGTTTGGGTGGAGCCCTGGATGGTTTAGATTCACAAATCAGCCCGGCAGATTGCGCTGCTGTCGGTACTTTCATACTTTGTTTAATATCCTAATCGCTTGAAATATCATGCAGGACAACGTCTGTCGGATTCGCTAGTTGACGTATGTGCTTAAGTTCCAGTATAGCTCCGTGCGTGGACCAAGAGGCTAAATGGCCAAGACCAAATGATTCGTATTTACAGCGAATTGGTCCAGTGTTCCCGACTTCCAAAAGGCCTTATAATATATAGCTCGTATTTAAATAAAGTAGTTGTATACATACATTTACAGTATACATTTAATTTTCTTAGTAAATCCATACAAATAAGAAGTATTGTTGATCAATACTGTTTAGTCCATTTTGGAGTCAGCTATTTAAAAGTATTTATTGTTGCTAATACCAGTGCCAGTGTCGTGTGGGCCGACGTGACCTTCATTACCTGAACTGGAGCCATGCCCTTCCCAGTGGTATATGGTCGTGCCCCGACGATAGTCAAGTAGTCCACAAGCCGAGGGCATAATTGTTGCTTCTGGACGTCCATCTTGATGTGTTTTCCGTCTAGCTACTGCACTCATAACTTAATTATTGCTTTTCATGATTGTCTTAGAATACCTAGAAGAAACATACCATTACTGGATTGGTATATAGGTAAATTAGGAAAAAAATAAAATATATAATTAACGTAACATCAAAGTTATTTAAATACACTTCGTTCCAAGGTAAAAAGGTGGAAATAATTAAATAAGGTGAGCGCAAGAAGTGAACTACATAAGATATGAAATTACCTAGACATAAAGAATGGAACAAAACAAACCAATTAAAACTTTTGTCGACGATGACGAATCACAATTTTAGTTGGTTCAGTAACGAAAGTTTGGGACACGATGTGGACAATTTTAATACACGTGTATGAAATAATACTTCTTTATCGGATACTAGTAGACTCGGCCAAGCGTTGCTGTGGCTAAGATTTTTGTTATATTACATAGTAGTAAACTATTAAAGAGAAACGGCAGGAGAACACCAATCCACCATGCTTTTTTGGTGGTTATGCCATTAAATTGTCGCTTATGTGAAACGTTGGTAATTATTTTGATAAGGATCAATACCTAGGTACGAATAAAGAGCCTTTTCTAGCGGTGGTATTTTAATAAAAAAATAATAATAAAAGGACGCTTATTGTGACGTAACTATAAAAGATAAAGACATGCTGTCGCGACATTTTTTATAGATGTGTCCTGAAAAATTTTAATACATCATTTTGTTCTATCATTAATAGTTTTCGCAGTGCACACGATTGAAGGAAGTATTTTGTTTATTTTTTTACACCTTGGGTTAGATTATTCAAGTTTTAGTAAGCATCCCTAATTTTTTTGAGAATGAAACATAGCCTATGTCACTCGGGAATAGTGTAGCTTGCCAACGGTGAAATAATTTTTGAAATTAGTCCAGTAGTTTCGGAGCCTATTCATTTCAAACAGACAAAAAATCAAACCTTTCCTCTTTGTAATATTAGTATAGATAAACGAATTGTCAAATCTTTGGAATGCTTTACAGTACCGTACAGTACAGTCGAGTGTAAAAATACTTATTTATTAACAGCTAACATAAATCAAATACAACAAAAATCAATTATACTAAACATATAGCCAAAGATGGATTACATAATATATACATAAAGGTTCAAACATTTACGAAAGGAAAAGATAAATAAAAACTATTAAATATGTACCTAATTCGGCTGTGCTGTGTGATAGTGTAAAAGGTGTATGTGGGGTGTGCATATACGTATAATTGCGTTTAAGCTGTTAAAGAAGTATGTTTTAATCTACTGGCATAAAAGTGACAATGATAAAATTAATATTAGTTATTGTTAAAATTAAGAAAATCTATTTTCTTTTGTTATCTCTCATTTTTAATTATTATTAAGCAATGCATTCTGGACAATTTTTTTCTTTTGAATTATTGTTTTTGTTTTAAATTTGTATTCCTTTTTGGCTGAATGTATTGTGTAATGGTTTAGATATGATTGTAACAGTGGGAATACTATAAATCCAATAAAAAATATATAATAATTCTAAAGTCTAAGTTCTAGATTTAAACATAAATATATGACGATCACAAGCAAATGGATATTTCCCATTTCACTTATTTTATATAAAAAACTCTCAATAATTTCAAAGTAAACTCGTTATAACATAAATTGAGTTTTTTCTCCTCTTAAGCCTTCTTGACATATTGAAAAGAAATTGTTTTTGGAATCCATTTTGAGGCAAAGACGTCACGTCAAGAGTCTTTTGTAAGATTAAATAGCTGTTTCGTAACTTTATTAATAATAAATTTGTTCATGGGAAGAACTGTTATTTGCTGTACAAATTGAGTTTTGTTATTAACTGTATTTTTTCTCATCCTCTATAATTTGGGGTGTGTATGGCAATTTTTAGCGTCAGCCTAGTATTTGGATACCTGGAAAAGCCTGGAAAACTATTTTTATATGCATTTGTCATGCTCCAAAACAAGACTGCTAGTATTACATTTATACAAACCACATTGGTTTTCAAGTGTAATATAGCTTTAGATAACATTATTCTATAAAATAAATAAATAAATTAAACAAAAAAAACATCTTCCGGGTACAGACCACCCAGCGACTCTTATGAATATCAAATAGGTGACCATTTTTTTTATGTAACAGGTGGTAAACGGGCATAGGATATCGCCGCCCATGGTCAATCACACTCCCAGAAGGCTCGCAAGCACTCTGCCGGCTTTTTATGAATTGGTTCCCTCTTTTCTTGGACCCTAAGTCTAATTGGTTCGGAAATACTTCAGTGGGCAGCTGGTTCCACATAGTGGTGGTAAAAATTGGAAAAAACGGCGTAACGCTTAAGAAACGTTCAGTTGTGAAAACGGACAGATGTTGAGGTGATATGGACGGTTATAAACTAAACCTAGATTCTTTAACGCATTGAACAAAGTCTTAATACCATACAAAGACCGAATCTCCATTAAATCATAATATCTACCAAAATGGTTCAATAAGTTTTTTTTTTAAAGAATTTTTTTTTTAAATTGACATTTATTTTTATTTACACAAATACAGTATTTACAATAATTTTCTTAACCTATAAAGTAATAATAAAAATAATTAAAAATAAATAAAATGAAAATCAAAACAAATTTAAAAAGATTTAAGTATTATTTAGTAAAAGTTATTAAGATTTTTACTTGTAGTAATCTTTATTGATATTTTTGTTTATTTCTACATATAATATTTTACAGTTTGTTGGCAAAGTTTAAACTAATAAATCTACTCAGTATTTCTTCGAAATACGACCCTTATAACATTGAACGGCAACCTGCCCTTGGCCCAATTTCCCTGACCCAATTACGTCCCCTACCAGTGTGCGGGAGCTAAAATCGAATAATACTAGTAACATATAAACGCATTACGCTTGGTTAAGTGCAGCAATACTTGCAATTATGCATTTTCATTATACCCAATTAAAGTCTTATTTACGTGAATTAATTACATTAATTCTGGATAATGGAGCCGTATTGGTGGCTTCAGCGTGCTACTCTCATCCCTGAGGTCGTAGGTTCGATTCTCGGCTGTGCACCAATGGACTTTCTATGTGCGCATTTAACATTCGCTCGAACGGTGAAGGAATCGTGAGGAAACCGGCTTGTCTTAGACCTAAACAATCGACGGCGTGTGTCAGGCACAGGCTGACCATCTTTCAAATGATCATGAAACAGATACAGAAATCTGAGGCCCAGTCCTAAAAAGGTTGCTGCGCCACTGTTTTTTTCATTTATTTTAATTCTGAAAAGCATGAAAGGTCGAGTTACGTCTATATTATGATTTAATAAATTCGTGTTTTTATAATATATGGAGGATGTAATTTGTTAATATATATAGCTAGAATAAAAAGACGAACACGGAAGTCAATTTCGTTTTCTCTTTATAGCGCAGGTTTTAATAGGATGTACTTATACCAAAAAATTAAAATCGCTAGTTACGTGATATTAATACTACAATTAAAAATTTATTTTATAAATCTAAACAGATTACAGCTTGGTATTTTGATCAAAAATTTATAGATCATTGGTCGTTCTATATTTGAAAAAATTAATACCTAAATTTGGAAATTCCGCTAGTTCCCAGTAACTTTTAACCTCCCTAAGGAATATGTTTCGAATCCCCTTTTACGTACGCCTATATACAGTATTCATTTTTTTTATTTGATGAGCAGTTTTGGCCTAGTGGCTTCAGCTTGCGACTCTCAACCCTGAGGTAGGATGTTCACTCCCCGGCTGTGCACTAATAAGCTTTTTTCTATGTGCCCATTTAACATTCGCTCGAACGGTGAAGGAAAATATCGTGAGGAAAACCTACTTGCCTGTTAGATTGACAAATGATCATGTGACAGATACAGAAATTTGAGGCCCAGACTTAAATAGGTTGTAGCGCCACTGATTTATTTTAATATACAGTATTTAAACATATAAATTTATAATAAAAACATCAATACGTGGAATAAATTCGTAATAGCGATTGGGACGAAACGCTTTATACTTTCGCCTGATAGAAGACTATATCAATAATTTAACATCGCAGGTCGATATCGAGTTTATTAGATACTTTACGATCACTCTCCCGCAGTGGCAGTTAACGTGCCATAAACCGTGTTATTAAAGTTAAGATATTTCAATAAAGGTTTTATGTGGCAGTCAACAAGATTATACCATTTTTAATGAAGATATCCTGTGAGTTATAAGCCACGCGTTCATTCAACTTGAACCCTATTCTTACTTCAGAGGTTAATTTTCCAAATTGTTTTTTGGTGATAAATAAAATGCGTTCAGAGCCGAAAGTTTTGAAGCTAAAGACAATTGTACTATAAAAATGGTACGGATCGCAAAATTGTACCGCTAAAATCGTTGTATTGCTCTCGAAGGCATGTTGAATAATCAAACCAAATTCTATCATAAAAATATTTTTTTAATATACCTACGAAGTTTTCACCTGAAATTAATTTGATAATGTTTTGTTTTATTTATGTACGCACTGTCTGGATATGTGAATTTAATTTGGTGTGATTGATAGGACGATTGCAGCCATTTGCGAAAATGAAGAGATAAGGCTTGCGAAACGGTAAAGATTCATATGCTCTTCAAGTCTACAGGTTGCGGGATTCCTTGTATAAACACGATATGGTTCAAATTTCATTAAATTTGAACTAGTAGTTTATTACGGTAGAAGAACTGCGTTGCGAGAGTTGGTTTTTTACAAGTTATGGTTTTGATGGCTCGTCCCCAAACATTATACATATTAGGTATTAACAGTATTAGGACAAAACATAAAGAGTAAACATGCCTTGGGAACTAATACCATGATATGATAGCTGCACCAATTCTATCGCTGACAGTACAGTTCCATCATCTTCAGACGTTTAGAACTAAAGATACATACACTAACTACATATATTGTACATATATCATGTATATGTAGGGGCATCATAAAGCCTATATGCATCG